ATTTTTTTTTTTAAATTTTAATTTTATTTTACTTTGCATGTCTTTTTTCTCTTCATTTTCATGCATTGTCATCCAATTCTGAACTGTGTGCTAAATTTGAAGTTTGTAGCTAGTCGGGAAGTTAGTTTAAAATCGATTACAAAATTCCACCCGGACAGACATACACGAAGGCAAGTTTATATAAACGTGGTAAAAAGAAGAGATTTAATTATTTATTCAAAGAAAAAAAAATGAAACTCTCACCATTAATTTACAGTCTAACTGGTTATCAGTGTAAAAATTTTAAACTTTCTGCATATTAATTGTTGTTATTGTACTAATTTCACAATAATCACAATTTCTTTAAGTTAAATGTGAGAATAAAGTTCAAAGGATTAAATAATCTCAAACATAAGAAATGTCAGGGTGCTTCTCTGAAAGACGTGCAGCTCTACATGATCATTAAACATCAAGTCAGTCTACACCATAAAACTTCGACCTCCATAGCGGCCCACCTCAATGATGTATTGGATAGTACTTTTTCCTTGTTTTTCTCCAAGTCGTGAACACGTATTGTATAATAGATCTAGACTAAATCGAGACTAATCGAGCTGTAGAACATAAGCCTATAGCGCCTGTATTAAATGTTGCTGTTGGTGCACCAGTTCAGGTGGGCTCTCTTCCGATCTGGAGCATCAGGATGACACCTAGATTATCTCTGAGGTATAAGGATGGGATCTTACCTTTGTAATAATGTTCAAAGAGACTGTCGGATCCCATTTCTTATTCATGAATGGCAACACACATCCACTGAGGGATGGGCTGATCGAGAAACACTGAAGCTCAAGATATTCAGAGTCCTTTGTGGCTAACCCGATTTACAGATATAAATCTCCTCGAGTATGTCAGAGGTGTTCTTTGCTGAGCAATTGTTGTTCACTGCCCCCTTCCAGAAACCTTTCTATGGCTAAAAGAAACTTATTTCAAAAGTTGACTTTAGTGTCCCAAAATACTTTTTAATCTTGTACGCAGCAGGAGAGTTCATTGGAAGATCTGCATGCCGAAGGTCCACGAAGTATACCCAGCATTTGACCCTCCAGAAGTGCAATTTCGCTGCATCGTTTTTGGGCTTAGGATATAAGTGTACTTTCATATAAATTGATTTTTTAATGTGAATCCATGTTAACAATTTTAATTAGACATCCCGTTTTATTTGTCAGATTAATTTGTATGAACATTTGCAAAAATATATAAACAATCATTAAAATAAAGAGTAAACGTCATAAAAAAAACTTTCTTTTACATTGAAATTTTTTACTACAACTTTATTTACCCCTTTACTACTTCGGGACGGGAGATTCATAAAAGCATTTGCATACCTGCCAACTTTTCAGCCTTTCGAGGATAATTTTTCCCAGTGGTAGTAATTTGGAATTTAAGTTGCATTTTTAAGCAGGATGTACGCTGCATTTTTAAACAGCTTTTGCAGACCACCATGACACTGTTAAATATTGTATATATACTTAATTTTTTTAAAAATAGTTGTGGTTAAAAAGATTATAAATTAAGTTTATAAATGGAAGGAATATATAGAAAGCATACATTTTACTACCACTTTAAATAAAGAAATAAAATTTTACGCCAAAGGCGTAAAAGTTAGCAGGTATGCATTTGTACAACATCATCAGAATCAGGATGAAAAAAATAAAAAACGATAGTTTAAATGTGAGCATAGCTAATTTGGTAGATTCATTTTGCTTTCACATTAATCAATGTTGACCCAATCACGTATTTAAGCAAGGAAAATTGAGGAAGAACCCGGCCAACTAGACCACCTTAGTACTTATGTGATGTTTTGCTGACTCATTGGGTGACATAAAAATGAATCAGTTAGTTAAATTAGTGGTAACACAAACAAAAATCATGGAAGGTGAATAAAAATAAATAGATTAGATTACAAACAATGCCGTGCAGTACGGGGGACCTAAGTACTTAGGTAAGTATTGACTTGATGTATGGGGATTCAAGGTACTTGCCACATTAACGGGACCTCACTTCTTCACCTTTGTTGTGTCCTCTGGCGACTGAGATTAACTGACGTTAGTTTAAGCAAGAATTGGTCAAAGTGTAAATATAGTTTGTCTAAAGTAAGAACTCCCCTAGCCCTTCGTCTAGACCTGTGGAGTTGACTATGATAAGAAGGTAATACTATTTCAAGTAGGGGGTGCGGGGTCACTGTTTAGGACAGACTTTGGCTCGGGTCAGCTACAGAAAGTGAATCTTTTTCTTCAGTCTATAGTGTTAGCCCTAGAGAGAAGAGAAGCTACTCTTCCTGAAATGTGCTATTCTTGTTTCCACAGCAGCAGACGGCGTCAGACTTTGTGACGAGGGGAGTTCTCACCGTAGACAAACATCATACTTTTTTATTTTAAACTAAATAGTGGTATATGTGGATTCAAAGTACTTGCTCCAGGCAGCGGGTACCTCACTTGATTCATCTTTGTCGCGTCCTTGGGCAACTGGACTGAGACTGACTGGCTTTAGTTTAAGCAAGAATTGTTCAAGGTGCAAATACATACTTTTTATTTTAAACTAAACAGTGATGATATAAATAAATCAAACTATTATAATCCCACCCTCAAATAAATTTTATTTTATAGCCGTTTTCAAGCAGCCGACCCAATTTTGGGTTAGCTACTACTAATGTTCAACGCCGTCACCTGTAATTTTTAACTCAATCCAACAATAAGACAAGGGAACATCTGGATCAAGTATTAGGAGAAATTTGCCTTCATGGAGTTCCTTTTAATGGAACTAACCCACATTGGCGTTGCATGGCGATGGTAACCACGAAAACATACCATGTCAGCAAGGGGATTCAAACCCATGATCTGTCTACACTGAGGATATCTTTACGTTAGGTCATTGATTGGTGTGAGCCGGTTGCAGAATTCGTATCGACTAGCAATCGCTAAGATTCGAACCCAGTTCACCTCATTGGAAGGCGAACGCTCTATCCCCTTAGTCACCATGGCTCCCACAAATAAATTGTTAAAGAATTAATTTGATTTCTAGTCTTATCTTTTTACCCAGATTATGATAAAAATTTCATGCTGGCATGTATGTGTGACAGTAGGCGCGAAATGGCTAAAGTTAAGTGCACGTGATTAGCTGTAAGAATAAATAATACAAAAATATTTAAACTACAGATATTAAATGTATTTGATTTAACTAAAATTTGTTATATTCTGTTTCTTTCAACCCCTCCCTCTCCTTGACTCCCTTCCAATAGTGGTATAATTTGAGAACATTCTTAATTTTAATGTAAATTCAATGGGAGAACTTAACGGAAACCAATTTAAATTTGATTTTCTTAAAGTTGAAAAGATTTAATTTTTGTAGATAATCTACTATTATAGTTAAATACTGAGAGCTCTCAAGACTTCAAATAATTTTTAAAACAAGAAGAAGAAAAAACGAATTTTCTTGGGGAAAAACGAAAATAATCAGAGGGCTTAGGATTTTTAGGAAAGCTGCATTTTTTTGGATGGCAGAGTAGCTGACATAGTGTTTTTTTTATTCGATGTTTAAGAGACAATTCTCGAACTAATTATCGAATATAAAAATGTATTATTCAATTGTACTCCCATGACATTTTCATAAATATCTTCATAATTTCATTTTTCTAAATGCTATAGTTTACGTTCAACAAAAAAAAATGGACAAAAAGTTGAATATTCAAAACAATGGCGAAGGGTGCCTACAATTTTTCAATATAATGAGATAAATATGACTAATGCTGTAGCAAGTTAAACTGTTTGACTATAAATTAATCTTGATGAAAAAAAAGCACTTAAAATTTATTAATGTTGAATTTATAATAAAAAAGAAAGTTTAACTTCTGTTCCAACTATGCAAACTTTCTTTCATATGTGGAGTAAATTAACATAACATGGTAATTTAATATAATTAATAGAATAAACACTTTGTTAATCTCTTATTTCTATTATTGTTAATACTCTTTTGTTATAATGAACAAAGTCTTTAAATCACTTGAAAGTCAGTGTGGCACATGAGAAATTGAGTACCAACTTGTCCTTTTATCAACTAAAAATTATTAATTTTAATTTCAGATCTACATATTTTAAGTAAAAGGAGTTTGTGAATAAGATGTTTGGTATTGTCAAATATTTTGTAAATTGTATTTTATTTTAAGCTATTCTTTTTATAAGAAAAGAAATCATCTACAAAAACTTACACACATGTGAATGAGGGCGAAATCTTTTTCAAATAATTTTTTCAAGAGCATTAACTGTGTTTCACACTCCTAAGGAATTTTAAACTGATTAAGATTGATGAGTTAAATACAGAAAATTGCTCTTAAAATTAAACACATTTATAAAATTTTCTCAGTGGATTTTTGTGTTTCAATTTTAATATAGATATCCTAAATAATAAATAAATAAATGAAGAAAGAAAAAAAAGCTGCGTGCCCTTTCAAAAATTTATTTCACTTTACGCTTACGTAGGGGTAGATTCGTTAGTTTCTGTCTTGAGTTTCAAATTCAGTGAAGTTTTTTAAGTTTCATAAGTACTATATGGAACTCAAAACTGTATTAAACATGATTCTCCAAGTAAGCATTTTCGGAATTTTGAAAAACATATTTGTCATTCCAAATGCGGAAAGTATAATGAAAGGGGAAAACTTCGTAATACATTCCTATACATCTACGAAATAGAGACATGGAACCGGTGTTATCAGTAGATGACGTAATCAAGCGCTGTGATCGCAGTTTGTTTCCCATAATGTAAGCAAAAAGCTATAAGCTTATGAAAAAAGAATTAGCCGTAACCGACACTTGCTCTTGCGCGCACGCTTGTTTACCAATTGAAATTTTTTTTAAATCGGCTTAATAATATTTTTCATGAATTAAAAAATGCACTGTGAAGAAAATATGACTAATCGAAGCAGCGAATTTTGGGGTATGGAATAATCAATATAAATTGTATTTTTTGAAAGAATTATTTCTCTAATTGGTATTTTTAATTAAAATCTTATAACGAATCATTTCGTTTTGTATCTTTATGAATAAGTTTTCTTTTAGAAAGATTTTAATATCCAGTACAGTTTAGGATTTGTAAATTAAATAAAATTATAGGTTTGTATTTGTCAGGTTAGTTGATTCTGACTTCACATTTCTTTTTCACTTTCAAAAAGTGATATTATCTATGTATGATATAAACGATTTTTCTATGCGATTATTGCATTGCTTTACGACGGAGATCTGTAATTAATCATCAAAATAATGCCAGCTGTTTAATGTTTCAAATTTGCTTTGCTTCACAATGCAATATAAGATGTTTAAAAGTTATATTTCGCTAACTAGTAGACACTAGAATGTGTATGTTTTCTTAAACATGTATGCTATAATAATTTATTCTAATATACAGATTTTAGTATAATGATCGATTTATAATAATTTAAAGAAATTTCCAGTTGTAATGTTTTTGAATCATCACCTGTACAATGGTTAAGTACCATTATAAAACAGAACAGGTGTCTTAAGATATAGTTTTAATGATCCTACCTATGTCTCATTTTCTTTTCTTGGCAAAGGGTTGGGGCCAAGGGCTCTATGATGGAAGGTTGCTGTAACCTCCCAAAGATTTTCACTAATTGGCAAAATTTGCTTGACCATTCGGCATATTTGTGAAAATTCATTTTCACACATTTTAGTTTTGCTGAAAGTGTAATAAGAAGAATTCTTTTTGAAATGTTTACTAAGTCTAATCGGTGTAAGTCAACCGAGGCATCACTAACAGCTGGTTAAATATCCGGTTGAATCGATTCTAACAATTATGTTTGTTAAGCTTTTAAAAGAAAAATATAAATATATGTAGAATTTCTATAATATATTCACAATTTGTATTTAATAAGTTTAATTTACCATATATTAAAACTTTGTTACTTAAAGTCATTAATTTCTTTCTCGTGTGTATTTTCATTCTCCGTATTAAATGAACTTAGATAATATGACAGGTGGTAATAAAAATTTGCCTAAAATGATCATTACTACAACTGCATTTCGAAAACAATATTTATTTATTGTAGATCAGATATAATCTGTTATAACCAGGGTTGGGGTTTCAGACACCCTGAAGTGGTTTTGGATAGGACACGTGGTGTCTTAAACTGTGTAAAACTGTCCAGAACCTTGAACTTTGGTAAAAGGTAAAAATTCTATAGGTTTAACCATTGTACACATAATANATTTCTTAAGATATTTAATTATAGCTAAAATTACATTAAATACATTTTTTTTTCAGCAATCAGAAAAGAAGCATAATAAATAAAATCTGTGCAAATTAATCTGTGCATATTGTAGCATTTGAATAGATGTTGAACTAAGGTACAAGAAAAAAATATCACTTTAAAATGTTTGCGTCCTTAAAAATACATCAGATGACTGCTGGGCCTTAATTTTAAATGCATTGAAATTAAAAATTAAAATCTTTAAAGTAAAAAGGAATATTTTTTTAAAAAAAAATACTCAATTTGTTTAAAAATTAACCTTTTATTTTTCACAATATTTTTTTTTTTTTAAATTTTATAATAGGATGATAAAAAAGACATCTATTTTTTAAAAAAAAAATGTTTTTAAATATAAATATATTAGTTTAAATTGAAAATACAAATAAACTGAAAAATGTATTAACAGTTTTGAAGGGCATAACATCAGTTTCAGTTACTGGCACTGGTGATGTATCACCACTATGCTAAAAGAATTGAACATGAATGAAATAACAGTATTTTTGAATATTACTATAGGTAAATAAACCTGTTTATGACTAGCCAAGCACTTAGTCCCTAATAGCTAAACCTGTATGGCAAGGTCCCACGTCAGTTATGTACTGTTGAGTGAGAGGACCAATTGAACTTGATTACTGATTAATCTTTCTTTGTTTAATGTTTAAATTGAAGAGTCAAACAATATTAATAAAACATTATACTTTAAAAAACAAATATTCTGTAGTAGATTTAATTATCAATATGTTATTAGTTCTATGTTTANCTTCAGTTATGTACTGTTGAATAAGAGGACCAATTGAACTTGATTACTGATTAATCTTCCTTTGTTTAATGTTTAAATTGAAGAGTCAAACAATATTTATGAAACATTATACTTTAAAAAACAAATATTCTGTAGCAGATTTAATTATCAATATGTTATTAGTTCTATGTTTATTTTACCTCTTAAATATTGTTCAGATAAAATTGTGATATAATTTGAGTAAAAGGGTTTTGGACAGGACGGTTTAAACCGTGGATTAATCCATTCTGTCCTAAACCTTGCCAACCCTGGTTATAACAGCTTTGTTTAATGACTAGACTACATACTAGTCTTAATAACTCTCCGTCCAATCATATTTCAATTGATGTCTAAAGTCTAAACAAATAATGTTGTATCTTGAGCACATTTCCTATTTTTATTTCAGGAATATGCTGCGAAGGTGGAAAGAAATATTCGCAAGTTGTTCGGCAGAAATTTCATATGACTATGGCTGCTCTTGATCCAACAGGTACAACTGTAAATTTTTTTTTTTCGTCTTTGTTAAATTCTTATAGATATTACTGAGCTGAAACATTTGTGTCTACTTAATATCCCCTTTGAATGTCTCTAATTAATATTCTGTTTCCAACTGAATTATAATTTCTAAGTTTCCAACTGCATTTAACAGTAATATGTATAACAAACCTGCGTGAATGCTAAAATGAGAAATCACTCTGTGTAACATAACATTTGCCAAAAGGTTAATAGCAAAGTATTTAATGCTGAAATTAAGTTTTTCACTTTAATTGCTACTAATTAAAATTGCCAATTTTGATTCTTTTCGACTTCGGCGTCTCATGAAAATTCAGCTACTTATGGAGTAATTTTTCATGTTTTCAATAAGTACTTATTAACCTTTTTCTTCTTTGCAATTTAGTATGCCAAACAAGTAAATTTTGTAAAAATTCCCTGGTGCAGCTGGTTTCACTAAAGAAAATTTCAAAACCAAAGTAATTAGTTTGTTATGCAAGTTAGCAATTAAGTTTTATCTTAATCTGTGTTCTGGGACAACAGTGACAAAATTAATATTGAATGCTCTAGAATGTTATAAAATTAAAATATATCTTATGGAAAAAGTTTAGACTAAATTCTAGAGGGGGATTCATGATTTGCTATGTTAAGATTGTATCGTGAAGAGACAAAAAAGTAGGTAATAAGATAAAGGGTATCTAATTGAAGAGGAAAACGATGTTTACTTTGACAGGATGAGTCCATATAAAAAGTTCTAATTTAAGTACAAATTTTAAGTGTAGTACAGTGCTATTAGTACTGTGTCATAAAATACCAAAATAATGTCCTTTTATTTATCTCATAATATAAGTTGTTTTAGCCAAGACAACATAAATAGTAAAACAAAAATTAATTTAATTCCTGAAACAAAAATTTATAAATCTTGTATTTTGTCACAGTTAGTGCATGCATTTAATGTAATGAAACATATGCAAATATCTTTTAAACTAAATACAAAGCAGTGTCATTTTGTACTTTCAGTTTCAATATATAATGTTAACCATACTTTATTCATTTAATTGATAATGTGATGATTAAGATTATGTTTTATTTTCTACATCACAAAATGTGTGGCGAGACCGCTTTAAAAATTGCTTGAATGAACGCTGGTTTTGCTTCCACTATTTTATGGCGCTAGCAAATTTTGGTACTGATTTTCATGCAATGTTGACCACTTTGATCAGTCTACGTCGTGACTAGGGTTGTGTCTCGGCCGATCGATCTTCGTTCTAATCTATAAAGTGCTTGACTTCAAACAGGGTTCGTACAGGCTCTTTATACTCCTTGGAAATAAAAAAAGTCTCCAAGGAGTACTTGGAACTACTTAGATTTCCAAATTAGAATCCTTAAAAACTCCTTAGATTAATTTTTTTCTGAAAAAATTTTTTCCGATCAACATTGGGGATTTGCAAACCTCTCATGAAGAAGAAGGGTTGGCAAGTTTTTGACACATGATAGTTTTTACCGTCATGTCAAAAACCCATAGTTTTGGTAAAACTGTATTTTTATTTGAGTTTAACTGCTTATAATTTAAAATTAATTCATTTTTTTGCAATAAAATTAGAAAAAAAGTTGTTAAAAAATATTTAAGAACAGATTCTTGCATTTTCTCAACATGAATATATCAAAACATACTATTTGAAGTAAAATATTAGGATACTAAAAAAAAATTTCAACATTTCCAAGCATCATTTTGTTTGGCATATTGCATCAATGAAGAATGTCAAGTTATTCCTGACTTAGAGTTTGTTAGNAACAGATTCTTGCATTTTCCCAACATGAATACATCAAAACATACTATTTGAAGTAAAATATTAGGATACTAAAAAAAAAAATTCAACATTTCCAAGCATCTTTTTGTTTGGCATATTACATCAATGAAGAATGTCAAGATTGATTACTTTCATTCTTAAAATTTTGCTATGAGAAACACATGTACACATAAAAAGAAAGCCTCGTAAAATAAACTTTTCTTATAAATTTTGCTTTCAATATTTTACACAGAAATGATACATGAAGAAGCCTGGGAAATCCTTTTAGAGTTTCAATATTTCTGTATGAATGTATATCCTTCTATAAGATTGCATGTATATAGTTGCAAAATCAATAGCAATCATTTACAACATTCATTTATAAAGGCAATTATGTGAAAATAATATATTGTCCGCTATATGCCATAAATTAAAGAAAACAGTAGGTTTTTGACGGTTTTTACCACTGTCGTGTCAAAAACCAGTTTTTGACGGCAAAAACCCAACCCTGTGACAAAGTCTACTTATATAAGGTAATAAATAAATCTGACTGAAGTACTCAACTAGTTTGATATAAGTAAGGTGATATTACTACTACTCTTGCCGATCTAGTTAATATTTTCAGTTTTTTAACAATATGAATACTTTTTTATATAATATAAAGTCATTGTGGATAATGTTATGTTTCATATATGATATCATTTGAACTTGTGAATGATATCATCTGAACATGACAAGTTCCGAAAACAAATTTTTCAACTTGAAAATCTGTAATGCAAAAAAATATATTTTCTGTACAAAATTCTTAAAAACTTATTTTTTTCTTTGTCATATTTTATAAAAGATCTCAAAGCAAAAAAAAAAAAATTAGAGGAGATATTTTTATTTTGGTTGTTAAAAAGTGTTTTGTAAATGCTTCCGAAATAGGACTTTTAATAACCTTTAGTAAATATATGCATTTTTGGAATCATTCGCTGTCCAATCCAAGCAATAGTTATGTTATATACTGTTTTGTCTTTTTTTTTGTTTTATTTTTCAAGGTATAATAATATCTGTCGAAGCCTCTAATCTATTTGTTTCTTACAATTTGTGTTATTTTTTAATACTTAAGCGTGATTTTTGTTTTATAGTTGTACCTACAAGCCCTGTTGTTTCTCTGATGGTTGATCGTGGGGGCTGTGAGTATCTACTCTGCAGTCTAAAGCCTGGTACTCTTTTACAAGTCAATCTTAATTTATATTTTGACAAGGGAGAAAAAGTAACTTTTTCATTGATAGGCAAAGGTAAGTTAAAAATAAGTTTTCCTTTTCTTTTTTTTAAAGAAAGGATAAAAAATTGTTAAATTTTGTTATTATTATGTCATTTTTCACAGAAAAAATTTAAAATTATGGTGATAACAATTAAATAAAATTATGTATGGTAAATCTTATATAATAATAAGAAAAATTTTGAACTGGACATTTTAAAATTGGTAATTAGTACCTAAGACAATGTTGAGAAAAACCTTAAACAAATAGAGAACCAGATGTATAGCTGCCATTTTTTACAAGTTTTTTTTCTGGATTATTAAGTTTAAATTCAAAGTAGTAAAAAAAAAAAATATTACTACAGTAGGGAAGCGATTATCCGGAACGATCGGGACCATCGATATTCCGGATACCTGATTTTTTCCGGTTTTCTGAATTGCTACAAAAAGCCGGGTTTTTTTTATAGTTAAACCCAACTAAAAAAAAAAATTGGAAATAATCTTAAAAAGAAGAAAAAACGATGAAGTAATACACTAATGATTATTTCCAAAATGATGGTAAGGTAAACATCTTTCAAAAAAGGACATAAAATCTTATGAGGAAAAAAAAAAAATTTTTTTTTTTTTTAAAAAATGACGGGAAAACTAATTGAATTTCGTTCCGGTTTTCTGATTTCCGGATAACGGGTTCTGTACTGTATTTCTTTTCATATCTTTAATTTATAAATTTCGTTTATATGTAGCCATCTGTCACTGCCAACTAAGTGATTTTGAACGCCTTCACATATAAATGAATGTATAATTATTTTGTGTTTAGATCTGGCAAAATGAATTAATCTTTCTGATAGAATCATATTTTAAGTATTATCACACTTTCACTTGATAGATTCCTTTTCAGAGGCTAAAAGTTGGCAAGTATGCTAGAAGAAGAAAGGTCTTTACCTGTAACAGGCTTAAGAAATGTTAAGAATTAAACCTATTGCTTGATTGGTTATTACACTGCAGTTGGAAACATTTTAGGTTTCCATCACACTTCTTGCAATACTATGACATGGGATAGATTTTTCTTTTCTTTAACTTTTGCTCAAGCAAAATAATTGCTCTTAAAAGCATTTCCCAATATGAAATGCTATTGCTTTAATTAGCAAACAAATCTGTTAGCCTTACATAATTTACTAAAGTTTAATAATTTTTCTAGTCAAGCCTGCTTCTATAGGTAATGCTTGAGTCGAAGTCCTGCTATAACACAAAAACATCCTATATCTTAATATATTACCAAAATAGTCCTATAAATCCTATTTTTTCCTACAGAGTAATGTCATGCAAAATTTACAAATTTTTCATTCCATAATATGTAAAGAATCTACAGTCTAAATTGTCTTTCATAAGACAGCTTGCAAATATGTTGCTGCCTCAAGTAATAATTTCAAGATTCTCTTGATGGAGTTTCAGATGAGTAGAATTTCTATTTTCGAATGAAAAGGTAATCGGGATCATCTCCGCTACAGACATCTATCTGTGTTTGTTAAAGTCTGTCTCACATTTTTTTTTTTCGTGTACAGGCATCATTTAAAAGATCAAGAATGGTTACAGTTGTTTGTATTGCTCAAGAAATAATTATATTTTATCAGAATGAATATGTCAGTTATAAAGCCCAAAAGACTTCCAGGAGTGATTGTATCATGTCATCTTTGGTGTCTATAAACTAGGATTTAGGCTCGTGGTTTTTTCTACAAACTTTGCGAAATTCTGCATGTCTCAAGACTATTGGTTCGCCGACTTCTGTTATAGAAAGCAATGACATTTTTATAGAGTTCTGCAATTTAAATTTTTAATCCTCTTAATGACATACTTACATGCATTATCCATTTTAAATACTATTAAGAACTCTGTCAGGAACTGCTCATATCGCTTTTCATAATCAAGCAATTTTAATATAAATCATCAATTTTCGTATTTGCTTGATTTAACAGTTACACTTTGTGATTGGTATTCACGCGTTTTTAAAATCTAATATTGCAATTCGTGTTCATGCATTTTTAAAATCAAACATTGCAATTTGTATTCACACGAATCATTTGTATTATCATGTATTCATTCAAATTTTAAATTTAATGTTGCTATTTGTATTTTCAGGTTTTTGAAATCTTATTTCATATTCACACAATTTTAAAACCCATTGCTGTGATTCTCGTAAAAACTAAGTTTTTTTCTTGAATTAGTTCCAATTACTACACTTCCTAGAGAAAAATTCAATTTCCCTTATGCTTTATTATTATTCAGATAAAACCTTTACAAATAATTGTGTCTGTCTATTAATAAAGTAATTGGACGATTCCAGCATTTATGAGTCAAATTTGCTGTTTTTAAAAAGCAAAAAAGTTGTTCAAATCCACTAATTTTTGTGAAAATAAAACATGGCATCATTTACACTTACTCCAAGTTTTAGTAACTTTTATTAGTTTAGAATTTTTTTTAAAATTTAAAACTTGATGTTACACACAATATGCTAGATCAATCCTCTGCAAATCAGCCACTTTTTAATTTTGAGAAAAATAATAATATTTAGTTTCTTAATATTTATGTAGATGTAAATGACATCTAACTTATTTACACAAAAACTATTAGGACTGATATCTTTTTTAAATTTTTATAGTCTGAAATACATTATTTGTAAATGATAAAATTGCCCATTAATATCTGTTGCTGTAAAAAGAGGGTAAAATAAAAGATAGATTTATTTGCATACAATGATTGTGTTCCTTTGTAATTACATTTCTTCATTCCTAACCTCATTAACTTACATTCCTTAAAAAAAAAAAGTTTGTATTTTTTGAATGCTTAATCAACTATTTATATGAGAACTAATTGTTAAATTCTGTTTCAGGCAAAATTCATTTGAGTGGCTATCATATTTATGAGAAAAATGATTCAGTTCCTGTTGCAAGCAAAGAAAAAGGTGCATTTTTATTGTTTGGTTTAAGTTTGAAAATTTTTTGCTTTATTTTTTTTATGTTTTATTTATATGTTTAATTAAAATAAAAAGTCAAAGTAAATTTCACAGGCGTAACTCTTCCAGGAGCTCACAGATATCTTATATTATTTTTTTTAATTATATAAGTATTTAATAAATATATATTATATAATTTAGTTACAAATATATTATACAATTTAAATCCACATATGTTTAATTATTTTTTTTTATTATTTAGTTACGGTTTTTTTATGTGATAGAAATATCAAAAAAATTGCTATAATTCATTCTAAATCAGTGTTTAAATCTCAAATTTGCATCATGCACTGTGAATCATGTTAGTTTGCAACAAGGATGAGCAATCTATGGCCCACTAGCCAGAACTGTACCCACACCTGCCAAGTCTCTAGTTTTTTAACGAAGACTACTGTATTATAAGGCTATCTCCCGTTTACCCACATATTCATTCTATTTTAAAAAAACTTTTTTTTAGTAATAAAATACCCTCTAATCGTAAAAATATTTCTCTATTCCTCATCAAATGGCAATGTGGCCAATTCTGCAGATCTTGCTACCCCGCTTAGACAAAACCGGATGTAGTGAAAATGCTGCTGTGAGTCGTTTATTCTGTGAATTTATTTTTCTCCGATAACAAACACCTTATTTACTTGCGAGAGCCTGGTAGTAACTTCCTTTTTGCATTGTATTTTTATCAATCATCAAAAGAAAAGTGTATTTCTGTTTTCAGAATCATTCATTTTAAATGTCAATTGGGCAACTAGAAAATGAACTGTATAAAAACAGTTCAAAAATATTGCAGATGTTGTGTTAGAAATCCCATGCAATCCGCATGGCAATGCAGAGTGCGAAAAAATTTTCTCTAAAGTAAACAAAATTTTACCAAATTTCGCTCATCACTTTCTGATGAAAAGTAATTTCTCTGGTAACTGTTATGGACAGAACTTTGATAAACCTTTCCTATGCAAAGCCAAATCAGCTACTTACATTCGATTTATGAATATGTAAAGTGAAGTTGATTACTTAATTATGCAAACTATTTTGATGTTGAATGTTTATGGTTTAGTTTAAAAAAATCTTCTTTAGACTAAGATTTATATTCATATTTTTTACTCTGTTAAATGTAACTGCTTACTTTATTTCCAATTTTGCGTTTCTCTTTTTTTACTTACATTTTCATGCATGATGTATCAAAACTGTACACATAACCCAAGAAATATCACTTGTAAAATCTATGTTATTTTTTCTCTCTAATGTTGTAGAATTTATGATTTGGACCTTTAACAGTTTTAAATTTAAATATTAATAAAAAGAAAATTTTAAGTTTCAACAAAAATACCACTGTATTAGAAAATTATTACTTATTTTTAAACTTTTCATGCTACTGTTTTAATTAAATTTTTTTTAGCACATGTTTGAACATTGCTGTAACAATTTCATTTTTCTTTCAAGTTTTATTTATGACAATGAATTTAATACTTGTATGCAAATGTAACTTTTTACAGATTGCTCCATGCATACATGTTATTTTTAGTTAAAATCTGAATACACCTTACATTTTCATTGTTACTTTACAGTTTTATCTTACTCATGCTGACCCCCAACATAACATTTTTTAGTTTTTGTGGCTTGCTATCAAAAAAAGGTTTTTCATCCACAGGTCTTCAAAATAATTCTTTCAGATGCATATTAATGAATGTAACTATGAGTAATCTGTTCATCAATAAAATTATTATTATAAAAAGCTCCAAGTATTATTAGCTCTTACATGCCTTTTATTTTATAACCAATAATTTTAACTCTATTAGAATTTCACTTTATTTATCCGAATGTTTATATGATATTAATGTTTTGTGTGTATAATGATCCATATAGATCAAACTGTATCTCCTAAAAAAATTCTTGATGGAAAAGCAAAGAAATCAAAGGACGATGACTCTGATGAAGATTCTTCTGAAGAGGAAGATGTTTCTGAGGAGGAAGATATTTCTGACGATTCAGATGAGAAAACTGAAGATAATAAAAAAGGTCTCAACTCTTTAATTTTTTTTATTCGAATTATAACACTTCTACGATTTTATTTATTTTACAAGAGATTTATATAAACTAATTTTTTGTTTTTATTTATTTATTTAGATTCCAAAAGACTCCTGTCTTATAAACGTTCATGGTCAGCTTTGACCAAAGGTGGAAAAAGTGATGAAGAAAACTCCGACAGTGAAGATAGTGATAAAGATAATGATGGTTAATAGTTTCTTTAATTAATTTTCTTTAATTTAAAAGTTTAAAGAATTTAAAACTTTTTTTTAAATCTAAATATATTTTTATATCCTAATGTTTTTAAAATTTCAATTTTATGATGATGTCTTTTTACTTTTTCTAAGACAAGGGCAAAAGTTTTCATTTTTTTGACAGTTTTGCTTCTTTTAAAAAGAAAGAAAGAAAAAACTATAGAGAAGTGAATGAAAATATAGAAAGAATTTTAAAAAAGTATTTTACTATCTAAAATTATGTTTGTAATTTGAACTTTAACTTCTCATTTATCATTATATTTCACTATGAATGTCACTATTTGATTGAACTGTATGAATAACTTGAGAATTTACTTTTATCATTTATTTGTTGGGTATTTACCTTTAATAAAATATTTACGAACAATCTTTGCTTTATAATAAAAATCTTAAAAGGAAAAATTTTTAATTAAGAAAGGTCTATTGCTATAATTTTGTTTTTAAAGCAATTATCATAAAACTTTGGTATATTAATTTTTTCCATATATTTTTGACCGAACTTTAGTTAAGTATAAAGTTTGGCTTTTATTTTCTTTCTTTCTTTATTTTTATTTATTTATTTTTTTTTTTTTCAAAATTTCATCCCTGTAATTTTTATATGTCATCGATGTATGATTTGCTTCTTACTTAAGTTTTTTAGTCTTTAGTTAGTTTAGTTTAACTAAGTTTTTATGGATTAAAGGAAATCAGGTGATACCTGAAGCAGTTGAGCTGCTTCAAGTGTCACCTGATTTCTTTTAATCCATTAAGTTTAAAAATGTAAAAATGAAGTCTAAAAAACTGTGCATTAAAAATTATTAACATTGCAACATAATAAAGTTAGGAGGAACAAAAACATTCTCTGAAACAATAATTATTGAGGTAGATTAGAGCAAATGAAAGGTTAAAATCATGAAATAACTAGTTTGTCTTGTGAGATTGTAATGACTATCTTGAAACTTTAACAATCTTAATTGTTTAAGAAGTAAACCTTGCAAATTATTTAGAGCGGATTTTAAAATGGAAAATAATTTGCCAAACATTACTTTTTTATGGTAGATTTGGATTTTTGGTCCTCAAAATACGAAGGAATAGTCACAATCTTGAAAATATCTCAATTTAGTCAGACAAGAAAAGTAAAATTGGAGTCTCATAATGTTAATTTCACTATGTCTTTAACATGGTGCGTAATTTTTTCACAAGTTCTTATCTTCGATTTTTATAAGCCCTTAAAGGTGCTTTTTTCATTGGGTGTTTTTAAACAGTGCTTAATTTTCCCGTTTGGAAAATGAGATTTTTTTCTCTACCATGTCGATTTTCGCCTCGTATAATGCAAAAGCGTGCTTTTCACTTATTGAAAAGTTTCTTTTTTGTTAAGATTCTTTAAGAAACTAAAATCTTCACTTTATAAAATTTAACTGAATATTAATATTTTTTTATAATTATTTGATAATTTATGATTTAAATATCATCTATGTTAATGCTCATTTATTCCTTCATTTGTGTCAATGTTTTTAGATTTTTCTAAAAAAACGGATAAAGAGTTTCAAAACAAGAAAAGGCCAAAGAATGAAAGCTCTGAAGCCATCTTAGACAATAAGTTGAAAAAAGTTACTAAACAAAATGGTAAATCAGAACTTGCTTGCTAATTGTTCAATTAGATCATTGCTGTAAAATATTTAATGTCCAGATACGATTTATTAATTATTTGATTTTTTCTAATTTTCATTGTAGAATATATAATTTTATAAAGTTTGTCTCTTTTTTTTTNATAAATTTCTTTTCTTTTTTTTTTTTTTTTTTTTTTAAGATCTTCTTAATTCCTCAATTGGAAGAACGCCTATGCCACAAAAAGCTCCTAAAGACAGTAAGGCAAACTCATCAAAAGCTGTGACTCCCAAAAAAGTAGATTTTGTGGACATTGAAACTTCAGATTCTGATAATGGTGAGTTGAATAGTGCTTAATGAATTGATTAAAAATGATGGTGAAAATCTATAAACTCTTACATTACAATTTTACATTACGGAAATTATATTTTTTGTTTAATTTCATATGATGTCGAGTCGTATTTAATTTATCATAATGTGTTTGCACATACTTCTCCTTAATCTTGTACAAAATGTATATTAAGTTCACTAATAATACCAAATTTATTATTTTTAGCAATTTTTAGGTGCTAAATTTAAAAAAAAAAAAGAATGAAAGAAGGAAATTAAAACCACAAACAAATATCAATCTGATTTTTTATTTTTTGCATTTCACCCAGTATATCATACATTATTGGACTTCTAAAACTTCACCTTATTTTATGTACACTACTAAACCAAAGTATTGGCATTCAGTGTTAACAACAGCCCATAGAGGGCCAAGGCTTACTGTGGCCAACTTCTCGGGCTCTGGAGTGCAAGAGCATATATTCTGGTTGGATGGTCAACGGAACGCAGAACCCAAGAATGTGAAGCACTACCATTCAGCCACCTGGTGTCTATTTTATGTACAGTGCGCAAAATAAAAATGAACTGTCCTGAATAACTTTTGATTTAATAACTGGATCTTCACATTCTGAGACTCAATCTTATTAGTTTGATGGGGTGACTTCAAATGTGCTAATTAATTAGTGTACATGTAAACAAACTTTCTCTGAATAAGCATACCTTTTTTCAACAGAATTGTATTTCTGACCAAAATATAGGAGGTAGCCACAATCTGGGAAAAATGGTTCCAATAGGTTAATCAGGAGAGCAATCCTAAGTTAGGACCACTTAATGTTCATTTTACTTCTTGTGTATTTCGCCATAACTCAAGAATTTTTAACCGAATTGAGACATTTTTGCACACTATTATAAAATTTGTTTATACTAAGCTTATCCCATAGAAAATATAACTTTTAGTGGATATTTATTATTTTATTTAATAATAGTTGAAATAAATTGGAATTGTAAAATATCCAAATTTTTAAATCATTTTAAGGAATGCAATTTCAATTGCAAAATACAAAATTTGAGCAAAATGGATTGAATACTCTCTGAGAAATCCTATTATAGAAAAGTTGTATTTTTAAAATTTGATTTTTTTTAGGAACTAATTTGACCGATTTCAATCAAATTTTGTATTTAGCCATATAAAATTGCACTCTTTAAACAGATGTAAACATTTTTATACCTTATGGTTAAAAAAATTTCAGCTATTATTAAATGAAATAATAAAAAATGATGCAAAATATACTGTTTTGACCATGAAACAGGCTTACCATTTCATTAATTTTTCTCAAAATAATTTTCTCAGTATACTAAATTTTATTTTGTAACCGTCGTTGATCAGCCGACCCAATTTTTAGGTTTATGACTACTAATGTTCAACTACGTAGACCTATAATTTTGAGCCCAATCCGGAATACAAGGGAACTCCTGGATCAAGTATTAGGAAACATTTGCCTTCGTGAAGGACTTTTTGATGGGACTAACAACTAACCCGCATTTGCGTTGCATGGAGAGGAAGACCACGAGAACCTCCCGTGGTTAGCCTTGCGGCAAGGGGAATCTAACGCATGATCCATCTACCGCTGATGATATTTCACGTCAGCACTGTGGTCGGTGCAAGCCGAGTGCAGAATTCGTATCGACCAGACATCGCTGGGATTCGAACCCTGATATCTTAAATTATTGGTTTTCCTCTTATTTTGTTAAAGAAAGATAATCGCCTCTAAAATCAGTACTTATGTCCAACCTCCTTTCCACTTTAGCATCTTTGTTTACTTTGCACAAATAATTTGTTAGTTATAATATCTATTTTGTAATAAAAGGAGCGAAATTACTGTTTATAAAACTGTTCTTGAGTAACATACGTATCTTATTTATAAAGAAATTTAAAAAAATCTTTTTTCAAATTTAATGTTTATTTAATAGAGAACTAGTTTATTGGATTAATTTTAATAAACTTTTTACGAACGATAAATTTTATAAAAATAATTTCAAATTTTGTTATGAATTTTTTGTTAAGCTTATTAAACAAATGTTCTTCGAAAACTATAACTACCCGTTGCACCAGTGGGGTTCATTAATTTCTTTTGGATTTTAAAAAGAGGTTTACACGGAAAAAAAAGGTAAAATATAATGGAAAATAATTATCATTAATAATTCCATAGAAAAAGCTTCATTAAGTCTTTTATGCTTTGCTTGTTGCATATTAGTTCATTTAAAAAAGTCTTTTAATTTTTATACACAACTTAAAAAAAAACTATATTGATAAAAACTCAAATTTAAATGTACATTTGAAATTCTGTATGCTATCATCAAAAAATATAAAAATTTTATCAATCAACATTATATTGTTTCAGAGGAAAATGCCTCACCATTAAATGCAACTCCTATTAAAGCAGTTGAGCCAACTACTCCAAGCTCAGAACATAAAAAGAAAAAAAAGAAGAAGAAAAGTAAAGCTGCTCCAGAAGTTAGCAACGTCACTGTATGCATTTATTTTTTCTTTATTCAAGGCTTTCAAACTTGTATCACTCTAACAAAAAAAATTAGTTATGTGTATGAAGTTTCTTTAGCTTCATTTTTTTCCCTTTTGTTTTGAAACAACCATATTTATAACTCCCAAGAATATATTTTAACTATCTAAAATGAGTTAAATAACTATTACTATTTCATAACTGCAACTCTTCCATTTCATTTGGAACTCTCAAATTCTGTTGCTTCCTCCTAATCTGAATATGATTATCCTGGATTCTGCACAAAAATCTGGAAATTCCCTTTAAAATAAAATAAACAAAAGTTTCAAACAAAACAAAAGTTTTTGAGGGGAATTATAATTATGAGAGAGAATTACAATTATAATTATTTGAGGGGAATTAGAAATTATAAATTTTATAATAAACCTTATTTAGTCTCTATTTTAAAGGAATTCATATTGTTAGCGTGTAATGCTCATCAAAGCTACAAAAACTATTAAAAAAATTTGAAGTAAACCATTGAAATGAAAGAAAGGGATAAAGATTTTAAAAAAAAAAATATTGAAATTGAATCAACTGATAAATCAAAGCAATTTTTAAATAATCGACCCCGAACTAAAGCAGTTGATTCCATTGTTTATTTCCCATTTAAAAAAATTAATAAATAATTATAATCATTTAAAGTCACATTGGAAAATTATTCTGTGGTTAGTAATTTACTTAATTTTTATCTGCCTCTTTATATTTTTATGAAAATTTGAAACACTTATTCACAAAAGCATGGTTTTTGGCATCAATTATCAAGTTTTTACCTATCTCTAGTAGTTGCAAATCAGTGTTCATGCATTGCTTTTATTAGATATAAAAAGTTTCATGCTAATTATACAATTTTATTTCCGAACTCTGGGCTAAATAAAACAGATACTTCTGTTCAATTTTTATTTTACGACCACTGGAGAAAATCGTCCTCAGTGAAACTAAAAGCTGGGTGACTATATAGATATTTTTCTTGTGAAAAAAAAACAACTTTTGAAAAAATTGGCCCCTTTTTTCTAAAGAAAAATCTCTTCTTTTTTACTTTTGGCAAAATGTTTGAATCTCAAGTCCCTTTGTTTAAAATTCAAAGCTACTAAGCACCTTGCTTTTATTCAAAACAAAAATGCGAACTTGAACCAGTCCTGCTTCAGCTGAATCAATGCCAGTCCGAAATGAGGAGGGAAAAGAAACTTTATCCAGATTAAACTGAGCGTGTTCTAAAATGAAACCCTGGTTTGGGAAAAGATTCTGCTGTAGTGTTAAATTTCTTGATTTTTCCTTGGCAAAACATTAGAAATGGAAGTTTAAAGCATAGTCACAATATATGTGCAATTATTATCCATGCGTGGATTGTTATTTTTGTTTTTCATCAAATGAATATAAGTGTGTGTTCTTCTCTCTGCTTAAAGAAAAAAAAATGAATAAGCCTGAAAAATACCTCCCACAATTTAAAGATGTGTTACAATTCAACAAAACTTAAATTTGCATAAAAAGCTCCCTTATATTATTAAATCTAGAAAAGGCTAAATATTCATTGCATGCTTATTGTATTAAAATAAATGTTTCTTAGCTATAATTTTATATTGTAAAGATTTCAGTATAAGTTATCTTAGATTAAGTTTTTAATAGTGTCTTTGGTAATTTTTAATACATAAACATATTTTTAGATTTTTGTCCATTTTTATTTTTTGTATTTTCTTAGTTTAAAAAATCCCTATTCAATTTTTAAATAATTCCTATATCTTTAATTTTTTTCGTAAATAGCGTTTCCTCCCTTTATAAAAAGAAAAAAAGGGTCCCTAGTTTTGATTTTGTGGTATTGACAACTAAACAATTCACAGTTATAATTTCAGAAAATGTAATAAGTATAATATTTTATTCACACTCATTTAATATCAATCATAAATGGAAAATATTGCAATCAATTAATATTTTTTAGAGTTATTAAGTTTTAAACTTCTAAGAGCAATCCTTTCTCAAAACTAATATCTCATAAATATAGAGTTAGCCAATTTTTGTCTGAATGTGATTTATTGAGAAAATTTATTTAAATGGACCACATCTTCTAGAAAAGTTACCTTAGTTTTTAACTAAAATTATTTTTCTTAAAACAGGACCTTGATAAGAAATCTGGGATCGACTCCTTTATGAAGTTGCAATCTACTACTTTCTATATTTATATTCTTTCTTAGCAACTTGCAAGTTCTTGTTTGGGCAATGTTCGTTATCACTTTTTATTATAATAGAGACTAGTTATAAATTATATAATTAATAAGCAAATTTAGATTTTTTTTTTATGACATATAATTTAAATGTGTGATATTCTTCAGAATGAAAGTCCCGCAAAGCCTAAAGGACTTGCATCAGCCTCTTTTAGTCAGAAATTACCTGGAGGACTTGAATATGAAGATATTAGGGTTGGAAATGGACCTATTGCAAAAAAAGGAAGATTAGTAAGTTCCTAATTTACCAAATTATATTGTATTAGAATAACAACAATATTGCTTTTATAGATCCTTTTCAATAACTAGCATTTTAAGTCTCTTTTTGTGTAATTGTGCATTAATATCTCAAAATGGCTGAAAAATTGGCATCACTATGCCATTTAAGTATTTTTCATTCTGATTGGGTCACAACTTCAGGGTTGCCACTCTACATGGAGAACAGGGAAAACCTGGAAAATACAGGGAATTTAAAAATCACCTAAAATAACAGGGAAAATGCAGGGAGTTTTGATTTTTTCCTTGCAAACTGGGAAAATACAGGGAATTTTGTTTCTTATTTTTGTCTTTTAAAAAATGGTACCCACTCAAAGCGTAATCTATGGGATATTTAGCCATGATATTTCAGCTATACTAAACTATTTCACTTACTATAACATTATTTAAATATGTTCAGCTGTTTTCCCACCAATTAAAACTAATAAATATAGTTAGCCCTATATAGCTCGCAAAAGAGAACAGTAATTGTTGTTTCCTTTTAATATATTCTGTATAATAGTACAGGGAAAACACAGGGAATTTTTTTTCCAGATTTGAGTGGCAACCCTGAACTTTCAATATTTCAGTTTTTTTTTTTTAATTCAATATTGTTGCATTTACAATTTTAGTTATTATAATTGTATAGATTGAACTGTGTATAAAGTAAAATTTGAGTTATTATTTTCTTATTTTTAAGCCAATTATTATTATGCTTTGTTCTCAAGTCTTGATTGGACTAAGATTCTTCCTTAAGTCTGTATTAGTTAATGTTTATGTTAATTGGGAAAAACAAATTTATTATAAAATTATTAGATCTGCTATTTCTGACATCAAAGTTAATCATTTTACTATCAAAATCACTTTGTTCTGGGTGTATAAAAAATATGTAGATATATCTACATTTAAATACATATCTACCTCTAAAAACTAATAAAAAAATTTAAAGAAACTTTAAACTTTTAACAGGTATCATTAAATATTTTGTCATACCAGAATTTCTACTGCAGTAGACATGACAGCTTTTTTTGTCGTGGAATGTAATGATATTATGAATGATGTCTGTATAGTAGTAATATCTATAGTGTCTTGAGGTGTAATGATATTACTTTTAGCTGCAAAAAGTCCTCATTGTATAACAAGTTCAGCAAAAGTTTATTCCCAAGTTAACAGGTTAAAATGAGTTAAGAAACTGGCAAAATGATAATAACACCTCTTAAACTAAAAATGTTGCATTTGAATTAGATTTCGTAGTTAGCTAATTTTTTCTTTTGTTTTATAAAATCTTATAATGTATAAGCATTGATATTATAATTATTTTATTTATCAGGTTCATGTATATTACACTGGCATGTTACAAGACAATAAGGTTTTTGACTCCAGAGAAATAGGAAATAAACCTTTTAGTTTCAGGCTTGGTTCTAATCAAGTGATAAAAGGCTGGGATATGGCTGTCGAAGGTAAGAAATACTTAACCCATTTAAACAGTTAATTTTCTTTTGTCTTGTGCTTACTTTTTTTTCTTTCTTTTTTGTTACGGGTGTTTTTCTTAAAGTGAAAATAAAATTATTATTAAGTCCAATAATTCAAATAGTTTCCATCTCTTGGTTAATAGTTTCTTTTTATAAAATTAGTTCTTCTTTGAACATTATCATTTGTCGCCATTGTCAGCAACGTCCATATCTTGGGTACTTTTCCATAAGTGCCATCTGCATTCGACACCATGTAGATGTGTATACTGGGAGAGATATTAATCATAAAATCTTTAAATATCATATACACTTATGAATTTCGGCAAATATTTAAGGAAAACTTGAGGTGCCAAATCTTATGATGTATCCATGCTTATTATGGTTTCCAAGAATTTTTATATTTAACTGTTTTTTATGTTTAACTGTTTTTTTTTTAAGTAAGTTTTTCTCCCTTGACTGCCAAGAGTTGTAAAATTTTGTTGTTTACAGATAATCTACCATATTTTTTTTTTCTTTTTAAACAATTCTAATATATATATATATATATAATAAGTAAATGGATTTGTTAGAAGCAAAATAATAAAAAGCAAAGAATCCTCATCTTTTTCCTATCCAACAAGCTATTTTTAGCGTATGAGGTCAAGGGTGAAAGAAGCCATTTTTGTGTTTCGAAAGAACAAATGTATTTTCCTTTGATTGTATTATACATTTTTTTTACCCTTTTTTTCACATGAATAAATATTAAAAATAATATTCTAAAAATGATTTCAATTTTTAATTTAACAAAAAGTAGAATATTGATTCTTTGCAATAAATTTAATTTTATCATTTTATAATAAAGCATAAAAAATTTCAGTGTTGTATTTTTTTTAATTCCTACTTAATCATTACTTTTTTTTAATTTAATAATAATTCTATTAATATTATACCTTTATAAAATTGGTCGTAGAACATGAAAATTTATAAATCTGGAAAAATCAAGATTGCCTTGTTATAATTTTGAAAAATAAATATTGTTAACGATAGTGACACAGGTAAATGTTTCGTAATAAATTTTATGTTAAGATAAAAAGACAACTTAAAAATTTTAAATAAAATTTTATGCCACAGGTTACAAAAGTCAGGGAATCAGTTTTTATTTATTTATTTTTCTGAGCGTATGTGGCTATTCTGACCAAGTAATGTGAACACCTTAAAATTGTGTTTACTTGAAATTCGTAAATGCTGGTTATTTGTGTGTTATTGTATGTCTGATAGCTAGTTTAGAAAATTGACGCCTCTGCGAGACTCAGTTTTGACACTGAAGTTAATGTGAACTCAAATAATCTCATATGAACTATTCATTAAAAAAATTCAATTAGAGTTATCAGTGCTTATAGTAAATACAACACATATAGCGTTAGAATTTTTTTTTTTTTTTTTAAATTTATGAAAATTTATTTAGTGAATGTAATTTAAAAATTTAGAACGCATATGTTTGAAGAATTATATTTTGTAGTTAATGTTTTATCTTTTTATTAAAGGTATGAAAGTTGGTGGTAAACGAAGAATGAAAATTCCTCCAAAGTTAGGGTTAGTATTCTTCTTTATTTTCAAAATAATTCACTTCTTAATCTATTTCTATTATTAGTATTATAACCTAATCAAAGAATGAAACTGATTTACACTAATTCTGAAAAAGAGAAAATAAGAAAATAAATTTAGAATGATAAGTCAAAATGGAAAAGCGCTAATAGCAATTAAAACCAAATTTGTCTTTCTTTAATAATTTAGAGAGTTAGAAACACAAATCAAGCAAAAAACAAAGACTATTTAAAGATATGTAAGTTAGCAAAACAGCTCTTCATAAGGGGACACACTGTCTGCCAACTACAGAAACCTTTCTGTCATCATCAGTGTTAATACCAAAAACTGACTGTGCCCCTAGACCCCATACTGGATAAACTAAATAAGAAAAAGCAATTAAAAAATTGAAATGTAAATGCAATGAAAAATTGTACAGAGTAAGACTTGATAATGAAACGCCCACTTATAAGAAAAATAAATCAAGATAAACAGTTAGAATAACCAAAATAAAATATAAATTGCCGAATCTTTGAAAAAATCTTTCGAAATGTATCGAGTGCTGACACCTTTCGAAAATTTTGAAAAATAAAGCAAAAACACATTCACTGGGTAAAAATTCCAAAAACATTGTGCCATCTATATGCTTCATCAACAAATAATCCTAAATTTCACCACATAGGCCTATTTATGTGGGCATCAATATTAGCCGAATTATTTGAACGTCTTTAAAATACTTTGAATTAAAAAGTTAATGAAAAGGAAAATTATTATTCTTTAATGTAATTTTAAAATTCCGAATATCTGAAAGAAAATCTGTCATATTATTACAAATAAAAACTGAACTCTAAACCCCGGACCGAGGATCGAACCAGGGACCTGTGGCACGACAGCGCTGCCGCTCAGCCACCGGGCGTCTATTACAAATAAATTTTAACCTAATAATTTAACCTATCAAAGTATTCTTAAAAATTTTTAAAAATGAATTGGAATCAACTGGGTGAGTAGCGTTCTTAAAAAGTGCGTAAAGGTGCTTCTTTTTGATTGAAAGGTAAAAATATTTATTAATGACTTTTAAATTAAAAAAACTGATGCTCTTTGGCTGTTGAATATTTGGTATTTGGCTGATTTTTTGGTCGAATCAGCCAAATCATTAATCATTACATCCCTGCTATATGTCCTTTTATGATGCATGTCTTAATATGTTACATTTCTAATAGGTATGCAAACGCAAGAACGGGACCCATTCCACCAAATAGCACACTCTATTTTACTGTGGAGCTGAAAGCTGTCTCTTAGAAGTTATCAATGCTTTTAGTTCTTGTAAATAAACATTGTTGTCTTTATTGTGCTTTATTTATTTTTTCTTCTTCTGTGTTTTGATTGAAAATGAATAATTTTGTTATGTAGCTAAAAAATAAGGTTGATCATTTTGGATTTTCTACCTACTTAAAAAATAAAGAGCATTTAACAAAAATAAACTGATAGCTGACAATAGAAAACAACCATGTGATTCCACCAATTTCAATATATATACATATATTTTAGAATTTTGTAAAAAATGAAGCAATAAAAAAATTAGTACCACTTTAACTCAGACTGAAAACAAAACAGAAAATTTTATCTATCTGGAAAAATCAACCTTTAATTCCAAAATACTTATTTAAAATGAATAGATATCAAAATAATAAATAAAAAAAATTAAATGAATAAGAAATAACAGTGGTAATAATAAAACTGAATTTTGAAAAATTTGAACAGTAAAATTCATTAGTCTTGTTAATATTTTAAATTATAATTTTAAAATTATAAATAATGATAATCTTAGATAATAATTTATTATGATTTGTAATTATAAAAGGCGTCAGTTTTTTCATTACTGTGTAATATATACATGTTCTTCAGCCAGCAACGCCCTCTATGGGTTGCTATTTCAACTCTCTCTTGCCACCAAAGTTTCCCCGCTCATTCTGAGAGGAGATAGGCTGAGAGAAGGTTGTGTTCTATGATTTTCCCGCTAATAAATAAATGTTCAACCATCCCCTTCTTTCTCTTCATCCCTTTCTACCCTCTTAGACATACATATATATAACCATCTTTATAGCGAATTTGAACAATTAATATTTTTGTAGTGCTTACTCATTTAAATTGAATTGTACAAAAAATAACAAGTGGTCTTTCTCGTATAAATATATGATGAAAAGTTTCACTATGTGTAGATTTAAAAAGTGTCCACTGTGGAAACATAATTTGCAAGACTTATATAAATTTATACAGTAATGAATTAGTATTTATATTTTTTTTTTTTTTAAATTATTAAAAGAACCATTTATCTATCAAAGTTATGATTGCCTACAAAGTCAAGATTGAATCAAGTTAGCATGTCTTGTATATTTATTAGTGAATTGATGTTTAATAATTGTAGTGGTAGATACGCCACACAGTATTACAAAAAGTTATAAATAATAACAATTGTTGTAACTCAACAGCAGCTAACAACAATAATACATGTGAACAACAACAAAAAATTTTGGGGATATATGTACACGGATTGGGTTGGATTTGGTTTTACACTTAATGTGAATTAAAAGAATTTTCGGTTTTGCATTTTAAATACCTATCTTTGAGTTCTCGTGTTGCTTTCGTTAGGGTCTAGCCAATAGCAACAAGGCCTACAGCTTTTTCTGTTCGCCACATAACTATAACAAAACCCAGCATTTTATTTTAGTTCAGATGTATGTCTTAGTGTTGGCTGCTGACAGAACAAAGTTTTATATACAGCTTATTTACTGTCAGACCTGCCAACATACAAACTTTTCACCAGAACGATATTTTAATTCATAGTAAAATTAATGTTTTTAAAAAATGCTAAATCAATCGATTGATTTTTTATTAAATTCTCGAGAATGAATTTTCTATAATTTAATGAATAATTAAATTAATCTTCTTTTATTGAGATGCTCCGAGTCGTTGTAAAAGAAACTGTAGTACCATTGTGAAACAATAAATAAATTTCTTAATAATTCTTCTCTTCTAAATTTCTTCCTTCCTTTCAGCAGTTTCCCTAGCTATAAAAGGAACCAAGCAATGAAAGGTGAGCCTGAAATTAAACCTATGTGTGAAACAAACACCAAATGCTTTTCTAGGGCTGTTTAGTTTTTGGAACAAAATAATGAAAACTTTACAAATTATTGTTATCGAACAATATGTAGCTAAAAAGTGTTGATGTATGCTTAATTTTTTTTAAAATAAAATATTTATAGTGCCATTTATGACAACTGTAAAATACTTTTATAAATTTAAAATGGTATTTTTTATTTATATTATGTTCAAGAAAATTTTTTCGAACGGAAATAATGTGATAATTGTTTAAAGCAGTAAATCGACACCCAGAGGTCAACAACCTGCAAGTGGGAAAAGAATTGGGGTCAACGATTGTAGATCTCATATAAGCAGGTCGTGACTTTTAATTTTGGAATTTCATGATGGGAATAATCAACATACACTGATAGTACCTATTTACTTACATTATACTACCTTATAATATAAAGACATTATATCTGTCTACATAATTTATAAAAGTTGCTATGAGGTAAGAATTTTAATAAAATTTAAGTTATTAGGATTATTTTTTGTCATATGAAACTGGATTATTATAAACTTGCAGCTCTGCCATCGTACATTTTTATTTTCTCTGCATGTAAGGTAACCTAGTCTGTGTCAAGTCTTCAGCTAGCTAGTCCTTTAACTGCGCACAAGATCACGATTTGTTGCTTAGTTTTTACGTGAAAATGTAATAATTAGACTGACAATACACTGCTACTGCTTAGTAAACAAACTTATTTCCGCAATTATAATAGTAGTAGCGGAATGCAGGTCTTATAGTGTAATATTTTATTCCACTTGCATATTAATTCAATTAGTTTGAATTTAATTAATAAATGTATAAAATTAACATGTGTTTTTTCTTAAAATTTTTGCACTTCAGTTAGAAATTTAAATCTTTCACAGTGAGTAGCACTATACCAGCTGTTAAAAATGCATTTGAACTAGATCAATTTACAAAATATAAATATTAGGGGGTCTACGAGACGAAAAAGTTCAGGAACCACTGGTTTAAAGCTTGAAAGCTAATATCAAGAAAAAATCAAATTTATTTTTACGGTAAGAATGATGCTTATTTTTCATAATATCTGCTATCTCCGAGGTTTGTGTACGGCGTGACGTCTTGAGGAGAGAAATCGTAGCTTCAGCTCTATGTCTTGGACTAAGACAGGGGCTGTTGTCCAGGGCCCCACATCAGAGGGGACCCTGGGTTTATTTTAAGTTTCATTCTTTAATGAATTTTCTTTTTTAAAAAAATATCAGTACAATGTAAAATCCGTCAGGTTTATGTTAGTTTCTTCATTAATCTATCTATGAACACAATCTATATTTCGTAAATCCATGGCTTTCTAGGGCGGAATTCAGCTAAATTTTCGTAATTATGGTAGACAAATTTTGCCAATCAAAAGCCTGTATTTTTACATATCACAAAATGCGATAGATATGTTTACAAATTCTTTAGATTATCCACAGGAATATTTCCCAGACAGTCACCAATAACCCATTGTGGAGCTCTAGTGCAGTGTAAAAGGACCTACTTATCTAATTTCATCTCTTAATCCATGAGAGCTACAAGCGAATTTATGAAGCATGTACAAAACTTGTCTGGGCAAGGAATCCAGGATCGTACCAATTGTATATTAATTACCAGTTTCTTGCTTTGATTAAAAAAAATTATTGAAGAAGAGAGAGTGACATGGAGACAATTATTAAAAACTTTACAGAATAATCTTATATTAGCAATGTTTGCGCAAAATTGACACACACTTGATTCAAATTCATGTATAAGAAATTGAAACTTACAAGTCTTTCTATTCATGTTGTGCTTGTGAAAAATTCTCACTTGAGTAAAGTTTAAATTTGCACTTTTTTTTGTTGTTTAATTTGGTGAGCAACCCTATTTATTATGTGTGACAAAGCATTAACATCGGAAGATGATTTTGAATATCCGCTTGTACCAACCTTATGCATGTAGCGAATGTGATTACACATTCACACACAAATCCAGTGAAAATAAAAATAAATACTAGAACCATTCATATTGCAACGTAAACTCATATAGTGTGTGACAGAACATTCACACATAAATAGTTTATATCACCAACGTGTTGTTTGTAATAAAGATAAGCCTTTTACATGTCTGATAAAACATTCACATGGAAAGATTATTAATATCTCTTGAATGCTCATACTGGAGAAAAGCTTTATTCATGTAATATTTGTGATAAAACATTATCAAAGTAGAATTACCTAAATGAATGCTAGAGAGAAGCAGTTTTTATGTAACATGAGTGATAAAACATTCACTAGTAAAAGTAATTTAATTGAACACCATGAAACTCATATAGGTGAGAAGCTGTTCTCATGTAGTGAATGTAATAAAACATTCACACAAAAAATTAATTTAAATAGTCACTCTCTTGTTCATACTGGAAAAAAGCCTCATTCATGCAGTTTATGCAATAAAACATTCATGCAGAAAAGTAATTTAAATAAACACTATCTCGTTCATACCGGTGAGAAGCCATTCTCGTGTAAAATGTGTAATAAAACATTCAAGCACAAAGTTAGTTTGATTGAACACTGTGCTATTCATACTGGTAAAAAACCTTATTCGTGTAATATCTGTGATAAAACATTCAGCTATTATTCTTATTTAAATAAACACTCTGTTGTTCATACTGGGGCAAAACGTTTTTCTTGCAGTGTGTGTGATAAAACATTTGGGCGGAGAAGCACATTAAATCAACACATTCTTATTCACACAGCAGAGAGACCTTTTTCTTGCAATGTGTGTGAAAAAACATTCGCTCATAGAAATTCTTTAAATAAACACAATCTTATTCATACTGGAGAGAAACCTTTTTCTTGCAATTTGTGTGATAAAACATTTGCTCAAAGAAGTTCTTTAAATATGCACATTCTTGTTCATACTGGAGAGAAACCTTTTTCATGCGGTGAGTGTGATAAAACATTCTCACAGAAAAGTTCTTTAAATACACACATTCTTATTCATACTGGAGAGAAGCCTTTTTCTTGCAGTGTGTGCGGTAAAACATTTGCTCAGAGGAGTACTTTCAATTCACACATACTTGTTCATACTGGAGAGAAACCTTTTTCTTGCAGTATGTGTGATAAAAGATTTGCTCATCGAAGTACTTTAAATGCACACATTCTTGTCCATTCTGGAAAAAAACCTTTTTCTTGCAAAGTATGTGATAAAACATATGCAAAAAAGCGGAGTTTAGATAACCACTATGCCATTCATAACACAAAAATATTATAATTTTCTTGTACCAAGAAAGCAATTTAAATTGAAAATCTCTTGATACTGTCTTTTTGGCATATCAATCATTTAAGGCAAAAGGACAAGTATGTCTTTGTAGACATGAGGTTTAACTAGATTACTAGTATTCTGACAAGTTAATCCATTGTCATAATTAGGAATGAGTTTCTTCCCTTCTTTGGCAGAATTCAGCTTCTTTTTTTTTTTTTTCTTCAGTTAATTAGAATTCTGTCTTTTTCAGAGAAAATTCTGCTTTTTTGAATTCTCAAATTTTTTACAACTTTTCCTATCTTTGTGAATGTGGCTTAAAATTACATCCCAATAATTTAAAATCCTGATTCGTAATAACACAATATCAATTGCTCATCTTGATTCACATTTTTGAGATTTAAGACTCTCATCAGAATTCATATTACTACAATTAATTAATGCCACAAGATAGCGAATAATTGGGAAAACTTGAGGCAGGCGAATCACAGGTCTGCTCAATGTCCCAGACCATTATTAGAGATTTCTAGCCAAAAGGTATAGGTTGGAAGATATTCACCGATTGGAGTGGCCTGCAAGGTCATCAAATATGTATGGGACACCCTTGAACGCTCAAATATAACTTTAAGACCAGCTCCAATGTCCATCGATGAGCTGAAGAAGATGACACATGAGGAACTTTTTATTGCAACTTCTCTTTTCCCTCTTAACGCAATTTAAAATTTATGATATAGAAAAAGAGAGTTCAGGGAAACTTAAAGTAAGCCATGACGCTTCAAATACTGAAAAATATTTTTCAAAATGAAAATAAAATATGAGAAGATAGCTCAGGTTCACAGAATGAAAAAATTCTAATTTTTTGTTTACATTTTGATATTTTAATAAAAAATTTTAATTCGAAACTTCATGGCTTACTTGGTTAACCTTAACTCAATTTTTCTATATTATGGAGGAAATATAGAATTTGCAATGATAAGTTTCTCCCGCAGTATGTTATCCTCTGAAGGGTGCCTCATTGCCACAGAGATTGATAAAAACCATAAACAGTATGTAATGCCGAATCAAAATATGTGTAGCTGTTATAGACTATCATACACTTTATTAGAAGTTTTTCTGTGACTGACAAGATGTTAATCAGCTGAAGAGCCAGACAAGAAACCAGTTTCTTTTTTAAGGTACAGGTTGTGCCCTTTTTGTTTTCACATATATTGGTCTTATATGGGATATTTTAGCCAGGAGTGGTTTGGAGTGTTGATAATATAAGTTGGATAATGGAGTTTTTTTTTTACATTTTAAGCTTGAATATAACATGACAATGATTTTTTCAAGTAAAATGTCTGCTAAGATAAAGTAGGTCATAACTTTTTGACAATACAAGAAAATTTTTGTGCACAACGCTTTTTTTTTTGCCATCAAAAAAAATTTTTTTTAAGAAAAAAATATTGTTAATATCATTTTTTACTAAGTCAAAGTAGATGGTATATTTTCAGATATGTTATAAAATTAAAATTACTGGAAGTATCTTCGTATAATATTATTCCATTTAAAAACAAACTTTGGATCTTATTGTATAAGGTGCTTACTTTCTTCAGAAATTTTCTGTTTGCACATCAAATTTTTGCTGGTGTAACTTTCAGGATGTTCCCATTTTTTTTTCCATTCTTAATTCCTAAAGCATCATTTAATTGTGCTAAATTAAATTCATTTTAATAAATCTTAATGTGAAGAATTTATCTTTACTATAAAAATATTATTAAATATATAATTATACATATTCTATTCACATATTCATAATATTTAATTCACCTTGCTGAGTTTTTAGAGGTAGTAAGTTTCAAAAAATTTTGTTTTCAATATTAAGTCCTTTTGTAGACAATGGGTCATGTGATATAACAAAAATTTCAAGGTTATTAAATCAAATTTTCTTTTGATGTTACCGCACATTATGTGTGAACAGAAACCAACAAATCCTAGGCGACAATTTTAACTTAATTCTCATTCATCGCAAATTAGTACAGAACACGATATAAATAATAACTTCGTATTACGGATATCCTGATGCTTTTAATACTGTATTATCACAACAGTAAGAGTTTTGAATCAGGCACTTAGGCAATCACTTTTCGCATTGAACAATTCTAATTCCATTAAATTATACAATCTTTTTTTTTCTTCCTGTCATTGCTGGTGAAATTAGACAACCCTTTAAAATTCTCAATTTTTTTATGACACACAAAAAACAATTTTTAGAGGATTAAGTTTATTTTTCAAAGTGTAAAAATTTTTCATATTTTGAAATAGATTTATTGAAAACGAATTTCTTCCAGTAATGACTTTTAGCGAGAGGAAAGAAACAAAGAACAAGAGATTTTCATCAACACATGATGTAATATACATGTAAAAATTAGTCTCTTTGTAGTGAATGAAATAAAGTAAAAATGTTTGAATTTCCTTTGAATAAAGAGCAATAAAACCCATGGTAAAAGATTTGTGAAATATTGAATTGCTTAACCCCTTAATGATAGGTTAATTTTCAAGAACACTGTCATAAAAGTGCCTGTTTTTTTTATACACGTATTTGATTAGTGCTGACATGTAGTTTAAAATAATCTATCAACAATTACCTTAAAAATATCCTGGTACTGCCATCTGGTGTGTAAAATGAGAAAAGAAATGTGTTAGTTTTATTCTTATTGGCGTGTTACAACTGAACACTCCAGTCCGGGAATATCACGGGAGTGAGAAATAGAGGGCAAAACCTCACCCCCTCATTTTCACAATAGCGAGAAGGAAGGGGTTAATATTTATAATCACAGGTTTGTTTTGCCCTGTTAAGCAGATTTTGCATAGGCACAAACATCAGTATCTCTAACATAGATTAAGATTTTATATCCTCTAATAAAAATAGTAAATAAGTATGTGATCGCAATTCTAATTATTCAAAGTTTTAATTTTTTTCTCTTCGCAATATTATTCAAGAGTCCTAACAATTTTGAATCAAAATCAAGCAAGAAAAAAACTGAAATAAGTGGAAAGTTTTAACTATTGATTTCATCAGGAGTAAATCAACCCCTGATGATGGGCCACAATAGCATAAACGACAAATAATTTCTTCAACAACTGAATATGTAAATTTTTTTTTATTCACAAAACATGATATATATATAATACAAAACACCATCAAACAATATAGAATAACCATATTTTGCAAATGCATGATGATATGCCAAATTCAAAGTCTATAACACTCCACATATTTGGATAAGATATCACACTCGTTGGTTTTAGTCATCTGTCCAACAAATAATTTTACTACAATACATACATTAGAATCCTGCTAATTCAAAATCAAAATATAAAGTCTGATTGGTTTTTGACACATTTCACTTAAATCATGTGATCAAAATATCACTTTTTTTAACATGACATTTAAACTTATTAAGTCATCAAGTTAACACTTTTTGACATATCTAAAGTTTGAAGTAACAAATTACAAATCATATTGGTTAAAGCTTTTTTTTACTCTATATAATGAATGATTCATAATACCAGATTTATGCATGTTATCTTTGAATGCTAGTGATACCATATCATTACATTAATCCAACATATTTGGTTTGAATTAGCAAGGTGCTACTGTAGTATATTATTCTTTTCCATATAGCGTGAATTTATGACTAATCAGTTGAGTAAAAAATAACTTAATGAATATGTATGAAAAATTTACATTATTAGAGTTATAACATAAAGTTTATATTATTTAAATTGATAAACATAGTTTACAAATTAAATCTGATTTTTTTTCCTCATGAATTTTGAAAGTACTTTTAAATTTATTGAGTTATTTGACACACGTATCAAATTATAAATATGCCATTAGTAAATACAAAAATTATATTTTTCAGACTTAAACTAAGACATATAACTATCAAAAACTCAAATCTGCCAATATTTTGTAAGTTTACAAGTAGTTTTTTATACTAATTTCCACAAACTTCTCAATATTTTCAAAAAGAAAAAAATAATAATTTTGCATCTGAAAATAAATGTTTAAAAAAATTGCACCAATTGTAAAAGCATGTCTGATCAAGACTATATTTATAAATTAATAAAACAAAACTGTTTTTGTACATCGTAACAAAGCTTACAATATTAAAAAGGAACTTTTTTTTTAATGTTAATAATGAGATCAAATGTTGTTTGGAGAGGGGAAAAGATAACAAAAATAAATAAATTAGATCAAATAATACAATTAATCAATTCTTAAAACTTGTATGAAGTTTCTGTCCATAGAATTAATTCACAAGTAATTATACTTTTATTTATTTAATTGGCATTTGTTTTTATATTGAAATTTTGCGATTAGAAATACATATTGAAATATAAATTATAATTGTAATTATGTATTAACAACTTTCAAAATTTAATTCCTACTACTCTGCAAAAAAAAAAGAATATATCGTTTAAGAATTAAAAGTTTTGAAATACAAAAAATTAATGGAAGTAAAAGCAAATATACTGGAAAAGTAGATATTTTTGAAGATAATTTAATGTTAAATTAATAAATAAAATGTTAAGTTCAGTTTATGTATTAAATTTTCATAGGACAAAATTTAAAATTAATGATTTAAATAATCTTACCTTGCTTAAGAAACTAAAACTACAAATATTTTAATATATTGATTAAAATAGAAAATTAGGCACTGATACAGAAAAGAAATTCAAAATTAGAGCTTATATTAAGTTTTATTAATAGTACAATGTTAAAAATATATTTAACATAATTCAAAAAGCTAATGGCTTTTACAAATTTTTATCAAAAGGTTTCTTGCTGAAAGTGATATAAAGTATAGAACCTCTTATCCAGGAAAAAATTAGAACAGTTTTGGAACTAGTTTTAGACGGAGAAAAGGACTCCACTCAAAGCTTTCTTTCAATATTCCAAAAAATTTTCAAGCACAAATTTGTCATAAAAACTACTATTTTCTAGAAAAACAACTTTCAAATTGTTTGATTTGAAATTATACTTATAATTAAATGGCACTGCAATACCTTAATTACGTTTTTTTTTTACTTCATATTTTTGCATTTTGTGTCTCGAATAAACAAAGAAAAAAAAATCAGTCTCATTGAATATGTTTGATTGCTATTCTTTAGTGATCCTGACAACAGAAATAATATTGGGCTTCTGAATAATTGGTAACCTCCTGTACATCAAAACACAAAATAATAAATAAGAAAAGTTCAGATTGTAATACCTGTTTTTAAAAACGCATCAAATTTACATATGTCTTCAGTTTATTATACAAAATATAATTGCAACAAAGAGAATCTCTCCTGTATTATAGAATTTTATAAGGAATTAGGAAACACTTTTATGCAATGGAACACACCAATTTTATCAACAAAAAATATTTTAAAAAAAGGTTCTAGGAATAAATGTGAACATAGTTTGTTAGCTTTTTGCTAGAAAGCTTCACATTTGTTCAGAAATTGAATGATATTTAAACAATAGAATTATCATAGCACTCTTACATGCTCAAATTTAACATTGGCATAAATGTAGAAAATAAAAAAATTATGTGTTATGGATCAAGTTAAAATGAAAGATAAACCTAGATTTAACTAATTTAAGTTGGAATTACCAATCCTACAAGGTTAAAGCACTAAGAACATACAATGCTTCCACTTAAACAGAGTTTATTCAATTCTTGGTTGGAGCCCAAAACCAACATCTATATTACAGTGTGGGTAAAAGCCTTCATGAATATATATAATAGTGAATATTTATATCTTATGAGAATAGTAAGCATTATACCAATTTAGAGTTAATTATGAATTATCTTATAGTGAATTATCTCTTTATCGACATATAGAAGAATAACTTAAAGCTTTTACCACCTAAGATTGTAATCATCCTCACTTTAGCTGGTTAAATCTAGTTTTATTTTTCATTCTTTTTTTTTTTTTTTAACTTTTATTTAAAGCATATTCAATCAAAAAAGCATACATGGTAATATGTAGCAACAAAAAGCTTTATAAATTATTGTTTCTATGTAATGCTTTATTGCATAAGAACTCTTAGAGTTATATATTTTTTTTAAAATTACGACAGAGAGTTTATTTGAATTAGTAGATATATGTGAGATGAAATAATGAAAGCACTGAATTTATTCTATTTGAGTTTGTTGGAGATAGCAAAATGCACAAAAACACGAATTATGAGCATTAATATGGTATTTACACATTTTTAATTTTAAAGTTTGACTTGATTGCAGATTATTTTCACACATGAACAAATTCTTGTAAGTAGGTCATAATTTAACACCATGAAGAACATATGCTTATTAATTTATATACATGAAAAGGGAAATAATCATGTAAATACATATATAAAAAACATAATTGAGCTTTTGTTGATAGGCACCTTTCTTAAACATTTTTTTTCTAAATTTATGAACAATTTAAAAATTATCAAAAGTATTAAGTATTAAAAGTAATAAATACACTTTCCTTTTGCATTATATTCTGCAACAAACCAAGAAAAAAGAACTTCTGTACCAGAAAACCCTAAAACAAATTAATCCTTTAAAAGATACTAATAGCAAAATAAATTCTGCTTGGCTTCAATAGTTCCTTCAACTGAAGGTACTTTTACATCAACTGAATAAAAAATATTTGAAATAATAATTTATTTACAAAAACCGGAAAGGATTCATATTCATACTGGCAGTGAAGAAATCACCTAGAGAGGAAACTTCTGAGAACCTTCTGTTACTTGAATTGGAACTTCTGGGCCTTATATTTAATGTCCTTGGACAACTTAAAGAACGTTTACTCTTGCCTTCAACTTTAATTGTTCTGCGACAATTCGGACAAGAAGCTTGCTAAACAATACATACAAGATCAAGATTAAAAACAAAATCAATAAGCATTAATAAAGTAATTTGTTAATTTATATACTAAAATCAATTTATATATATATATACAGGGTATCTGCTACATTTTAGATTTTCAAATTCATGATTTTCCATGACTAATTCCAAGAATTTTTCATGACTTAACGAAGTTCCTATTTTCTCCAACAAAAACGCAACAAATTTAAAAAAGCATTATAATAACATTATTCGAAATAGGCATAACCAAAACTATTATACACTTCATCTTCATATTTATAGATTTTAAACTTAAAAAACAGAGTAAGGAAAGAGTTGAAACAATAAAATAGCTGAAAAAAATACAAAAGCAAAAAAAAAAATTTCTGCAGAATTATATTCTAAAGATACTTTTCTTGTTCATCAGAAAGGAAAGAAATACTCCTGATTTTTCTGTCATTTAGGAATAAAAAAAATTCGCCAATGTTTGTTTCAACTAGAATTTTAAATTGATAAAATTTTTAAAAAAATAATAATAAAAATTCTTATATCACAGAAGAGAGTTTAAAGGATAATTCGCTCTAGTGATTTTGTTAGAAATTCAGAAATTTGGAACAGGATGAAATTGGGAGGAGGGAGATTCCATTTTAAAAATTAGATTTTTCGGAGACCTAAATCCAGGATTTTCCATGATTTTTTTTTAAAAAATAGTAAAAATCATGACATTTCATGACAAATTTTGTTCATTACCAAAATTCATGACTTTCCATGATTTTTCATGACTTTCCAGGGTGCGCGGATACCCTGTATATATAAAACTAAACTTTGTTCTGGAATAAATAGTGTAGAAAAGAAACAATTAAAGATATACAGCTGTTTCTATGCTATACAATGCCTGTCATCTATAAAAAAAAAAATTTAAATTTTTTTTCCTAACAACTTAAATTTTAATAAATGGCTGATTTTATAAACAAACAATTGAATTTCCAAAAAAGAATTTTTTTCCAACTGCCTGTATTAAAATAAATGGACCAGAATCATGCATGCTACTTAGAGTGGCATGGTATGCTTCAATAGTGGTCTGCGAAGACTTATTGAAAAATTAAAAAAAAAAGATTGAAAATTACGTTGTCATCATCAAAATCTTACACAGTTTGACACTGGTACAATGATACTGCAAGACAGCATGGAGCTCGATTATGGGATAAGCCTAATGGCTTGCATGGCCTAACAAAGGTTGATTTAAAAATTAAATATTTAACTATAAGCTTACTACCACAAAGCCAAATCAGTTATGTACAATCTGTTTAACAATCATTTAAAATGAAATGTTTCAACTTATTTATTTCATTTTATACAAAACCTAACAGACAACCTTTAAAAATCACCATTACTTACTAAACTTACATGAAAAATGAGTGCTATTTAATTAATATTCCTACAATCAGTACATAAGTAGTTTTTTTTTCTTTTTAAATTTTAGAATGTTGGAAAAGGTATGCATAATTTTCTTTTTTCAAATAGAGGCCCTTTTTTAAAACAGGTTGGCTGCCCCTGTTCTAAAACATTTCAAAGTTAATTTTTTTACAGTGGTTACTTTTTCATACCCTTGCTTCGTTTCAGTAGCAACAAATTCATCTGTATGTCACATTAGACAACTATAAACTAATACTGACAATATAATTTAAACTTGGCCAAATGATTTTCTAAAATTTGTTAAAGTTTACTTTTCTATTGAAAATGCTATCTAATTACTGGAATACAATTACTTTAAAATGTATTTTAAATATATAAAATAATTAAAAAACAGTTACAAATATGTTGATTTTACANGGGAACAAAAAAGTAAACAATGACCCGCCCCCTCTATAAGTTGACCACTTGTCTAAATTGACCACTGAAACAATGCACCACAAGTGGTCAACTTACGCAAGTTTTACTGTATGTTGATTTTACATTTTAATCTTTCTATTGCACTTTTCAGCATCAAAAATTTATATTCTTGTAGAATATTATTTACAATCTAAATTTTTTGAATCTTTGTATTACAAGTAAAGGGTGACCCACTAAAAAAACATTACCTTCTATAATTTAAATTAAGATAAACTGGGATGAGAATCTTTCTTTTTCCAGTAAATTATTTATGATTTTCACAAGACTTCCGATTTTTGTATAATTTTTATCTGATTTCCGCTATTACATGATCAAAAAGCTTGATATCACAGCAACAAAGCCATAAAATTGCGGCAGCATTTTATTACAGTACGGAAAAAACAAGATATTTTTTTTTCTAGTCTCGCATAATGAAGAAAAAGAAGTGAAAAAAAAATCAAGCAACATTTTTCAAAGCTTGCAAAACTCTTGCATTAAAAAAAATAATACCAAATTTGATATGAAATTGACTAGTGCATGTAACAAAGTGATTATACAAAAGTGACTCAAAATTAGTGGATAGTATTGTATCAAAAAAGAAATCTAAATTTTAAAAACAACGTGGAAATCCGAAGCAATAACTCTTGAAAGCACCATTAACAAAATTGCATAAATACTAAAATCTCAGCAACGGTAATCAGGTGAGTAATGATAGGGATAGTATGGTATAAAGTCTTTTTAAATCATTTAGATTTTAAAAGCTATGTTGAAATTTGCTGTAATAATTGCAAAAAATTATATTGTCAGAAAAAAAAATGGGTAAAATGTTCATTTTATGAGAAAATTAATATAAATTTACTTAACTTAATGTCGTGTGTTATGTTAAGTATTACTAGTATGTTTAAGTCAATTTCACAAATTAAAAAAGCAATAGTAAAATTTTAAATAAAATTTATTTCAAAACAGTTAAAATTTCATAGCTGCTTATAAAATATTAACAATGCTGAAACTAAAGTAAAAATTAGAAAAGAATATTTTAATTAATGATCCCCAAGCCATGGCTCACAGTCAAAATCAGTCACTTCACTTGCCCTAATAGACCAGACACTTAACTAGGAAAAAGTTATAACTAAAATGTCTTGGAAATTATTTAAAACAGTAAGAAAAATCATACATTTTCCCTAAATTGATAGCTATCTTCTTTAAATAGTTATATGCAGGTTTAGTCTTGGCCCTTCACTAATAAAAAATTCAGTGCAATTCAGTTCATTAAGCTAAATAGTTAATTTAAGTTATGTTAGGTTTAAAAAAAAAATAAAAGTGGTATTTCCATAGTTACTTTTTGTAAAAATAAACTATATGTAAAAAAATATGTACAGTTTGCATAAGTATTCAAAATACATATAATTTATATTTCATTAAGTGTTAATTGAATAGCTCATGTAAATTAATATAGTTTAAAAAATTTAAACATTTGTCCATCATTACCATATCCAGATAAATCACTAAACTTAAATCATAGTTTAGTACTTATATTAAAAAAAGGGTGTTTCATCAAAAAAAATTAATACCTAAGATTTTTTCACAAAAAGGTTAGTTTCCATAAAGATACCTGACAACTTCTCTACTCTACTATGCATGTAATAAATTTTAGGGATGTGGATTGAGGGGGGAAATTGCTTGTTAGTGAAACATTAATTCGGATGTATTTTTTGACACTGAATTAAACAAGATCAATCCTCAGACGACAGGACTAATAGCTTAGAAGTGGGTTTTATGAACAAAAAATACAAATTTGTAATTGTACCAATTTACATATCTGATATTGTTATTAAAACAAGTGAGATATTCCTATGTATTATTGTATGCGGAATCAAACGGGACTACTCACTAGTTAAATTAACGAATATTTCATAAGTACCATTGTATATATAAAAAGTACTATTTTTGACATGGATCAGTACACTTTTTACTTTGCTATCTAGGGATAATCTGAACATGTAATACACATTTTCAGAAGAAATATTTTGTATTGAATTGAATGAAACTAAAGTTATAAGAGTTTTCTTCAAAATTAAAGTAATTCAAAAATGGTAATTTTCATACAAAAAAAAACAAAAAAAAACTGTTTTAGACTTTGAAATATTAGCCCTTTTTTTTCATGTTGAGTCTCATTCAATTAAGCATGAAAAATACATAGGAGACAATACCTCACTTGTCTTGGTAACAATATAAAATTTGTGAATAAGTGCAAGCATAAAATTATACTTTTTGTATACAAAAACCTTATAACTTCTTAAATTTTTTTTTTATCCATTCCTATTTTATCTCACTTAATTCAGCATGAAAAATGCACCAAATGATATACTTTACATGTTCAAACAATTCTAATTTAGAATTGTTAAGTGTACACATAAGTACATGTCAAAAAATAGTGCTTTTTATACATAAAAACTCTTGATATTTTTAAAATATGAATTATATTGACTTATGTATAGTCTTTTTTGATTCAATATTGAAAACAAAATAAATAGGAAAAAATGAAATTGAATGTCTCACTTGTTTAAATTAATAATTGTAACAGTAATATTAAATACATAAATAAGTACAAATACAAATTTGTATAAAAAAGATTTATAACTTCTAAACTTTAAGTCAGATCCTCTTGAAATTAGCTCAATTCAATTCAGCATGAAAAAGTATGCTGCAAATAATGCCCCACCTGTCTGTCTAGAAGAAATTCAGTTCTTTCCCAGAAATCACTCCCTTTTTCTTCGAAGAAAGGGGAAGCAAACGAGGAAGGTTGAGGAGTTTTGGAGAATCATATAACATAATAGCTAGGGCCCTATAAATTAAGCGAAGATGCGGAAACCCGCATAATTCACAATTATCCGCATAATCTACAATTTTCCGCGTAATCGCAGCATATCTGTATAATTTTTATTTTTCAGCAAAATGTATTCGTTTACCAGATAAATTTCTCCTTAAGGGTTTTTTTTTCAATTGAAATATATCTTCTTTTTCAATTCCAAGAATCTTTTTGGTCAGGTGGTCAGATCTTTCCAAGAATCTGACAGAGGTGGACAAATTCACAGGAAACTTTAAGAAATTGTTCAAGCATTGTCCTGCAAGAAAGCGCCGCTATTTAAAGTTTTTAACAGATATCTAATAAGAAAGCTAAACTTTGTCCAGCACCAGTAAAGACACGGTGGAATTCATGGTTTAAATCAGTTCAATATCATGCTGAATATTGTAATGTTTACATAGAATTTTTTAGCAGTGAAATGAACCCTTCTCCTGACACTGCTTGTCTCAATCGGTGCAAAGTTTTTGGTGGAAAGCAAGTACGTTTGCAAAGACTTTCAGTTCATTGCAGAACACGCTCAGATATTAATGGATACTCTTCTCTTTTTCAAAACATGTGGCGTATCTATTCACAAAGCTTACAATAAGATTTTTGATCTGAGGTCTAAACTTCAATGTAATTCTCAGGCATCATACTCACGAAAAGATTCATGCAACGTATTTCTTCAAGAAGTGTTTCACAAAATAATTGCAAAGTTGAATACTTACTACTCTCCAGAACTAGACCTATTCAAAAAACGTGGGCCCAAGTTTAGTCAACTTGCATTAAACTTCATGAAAGCTGCTCGAGTTTTCGATCCAGAACAAATGTGGTCAGTCAACTGCAGTCAACTTCAATATTGAAGACGACGATGTATTCAAGAATATTCCAGGAATGAGTTGTCAAGATATAAAACTCGAGTATGCTGCTTACAAAGAATATGTAAAAGAATGTTCAAACCAGGATTTAATTAGATTCTGGAATTCAGAAGTAGTCTCAGAGAGATTTCCAGAACTTACAAAAAAAGCAAGACAAGTGCTCTCAGTGCTTCCTAATTCAGTAGATTATGGAAGAGTTGTATCCTGCTACGGCTAAATTTTTACAAAACAAAGACAGAGTTTGAAAGAAAACGCAGCTTCTGGACTAACTTCTGCATGCATAATTTTTAAAAGACACTGCATCCTTGCCGCATAATTTTTAAAAATTGCCGCATAATTTTTAAAAAACTTCCGCATAATTTATAGGGCCCTAATAATAGCATAACAAAATTTTTTATCAAAAAAAAAAAAAACTTCATTATTTTTTTCTGAAAAAAAAGGGGGCTACTATAATAGTGACTTATTGAAATCCTATACTCACTCTTTCTAGCCATGGAGCAATACATTTCTCATGAAACAGGTGTTCACAGGTAAGTTGTTTTGCTTTCTCTCCTATTTTATAATCATTCATGCAAACTGTACATTGAAGTTCACTACCTGTTATAGAGACAGAAAATTAGACATAATTACCATTAATAAGTAAACATAATTTTTATTGATTTTTAATTCTACATAATTACTATTAAATAGTAAAAATATTTCATTTAAATTTTGTAATAATATTTCATTTTCGATTGCCGCATTTTAACTTCTGATCATTTACCATTTTGCAATAATAAATGTTTTTGCAATATAGTTATAAATTTTGAGTAATATTCACATTAAAATATTATATATAAACTATTTGTCAATTAGATAACTGGCAAAATTAATTTCATGTATGTAATAAAAGCCAAATTAAAATTATTTACAGTAAGTATAACTTACCAACATGGGCTTCAGTTAAAATAACAACAGGCAATGCTTTAATCTGATCTTTCATTAAGGGGGGAGGGCCACTTATATCTACTTCATCTAACAACTAAATAAAAGTTATAAAGATGAAATGAGTTAAGTAGAAAGTTAAATGTACAATTAGATGTTTATTTTTAACAACAATAAAATTATACTTGAGAAGCAAGTGCATCTACTTCTGAATCGGAACTGAAATCATCAAAGAACCTATAAAAAAAAAAAAGCAATATATTTCAAAACTGCTGAATTTGAAGTAAAGAAATAATATAAAGTTTAAAAAATAATATTTTTTTTTTAAATTGCGCTGTTTATTGAACTTATTTATCATTCAAAAACTTACAGGTTTCAAGAATAAACAATACTGGTTTCAAGAATAAACAATCTAACTTCACTGAATTTCACAGATTTTCTTTATATTTTTATCAATAAATTTGAAAAATTCAGTGTTTTCTAAATACATGAACATATAAATAATTATAAAAGGAAAATCGTAAAAGAGTTTCATTAAATGTTTTAAATAAAAATAGGCTTTATTATTTTTCAAATATCACATTCTCTTATTATTTTTTATAATTTAAGTACTAAACTGCTAAAAATGAATAATTAGTAAATTTTAAAAATAATCATGTTACAAGCATATTGTTTTTTAAAATAATAAACTAGTTTCTTCTCAAAACAATTCCTCTAATTTATAAATAAACAAAAATGCATAAGAAAATTTTTGAATAAACAAGGAATTAGAAAGTGGGAAATTGAATATTATAATTGACATCATAAAGAGAAGAAAAAATCAGAGCATACATCATGGTTTGCCATCCTGGAAGTACAGACATCTTAAAGCATAAATTACTTCCTCTTTTACAAGACAATTCAATTTGAAAATTTAAGTCTTAAAGATATTTGTTATAATAACTGCAAAATTTACTTCCTTAAATAAATTCTTTTAGTTTACACAAATAGTGTTTTTTTTTTTTAAATTAAAGCTTTCAATAAAGATGAATTTTATTTATATTACATAATATTTTAATATAATGCATAGCTTTCACAAATATAGATAAAAACTGAGCTTGAAATTGTACAAGAGGAAAAATAGAATATAACTTATTGTCAAGATGATACAAGGATGGTGAAAAGAAAGTTGTTTTAAAAAGAAACAAAAGTTATTTTCTTATCTACACAGCATTGAAGATAACAATTGAAGTAAACAAAAACAAACATTTTTTTTTTTTGAAGGAAAAAAAAAAGAGATTAACTTAGAAGTTCAACACACTTTTACAAGATATTCAAAATATTGCTCCACGGCTACCAATTTGTAAAGGAAAAATGTAACAGTTTTTAAGAAATATAAATTTCATGCAGAATATTAGGTAAAATATCAAACATTTCAATGACATTTTATTTCTAAATAATAATCAAGGTTGGCAAAAATCATAATTTTAAAAACAATTATTGGAAATCAATGGTTAAAATTTTTATATAATTAGAACAAACTAATCATAGAAAAATAAAATTATAATTGTTTTTTATTGAAGTTCAATACTTTCACGAATTTGAAATGACTAAAACTCAATTTATCAGTTAACTAACAAATGAATAAAAATCAATTTAGATCAAGAAACGTACAAAAAATCACTTATTCTAAATTTTTCTGGGCAAAACAAGTCTTTCTTCATTATTTATAAATACAGGCTACATGTTTGAACAAGTTATTTTGTCTTAAATAAACATGAAACTAAATTTGTATTATTATGTTTATTAAACAGCAAATATTTTTAGTTACAGTTATAATTTTAAAAAAAAATTTACAACAGTTTAATCCACATTTACTTTTTTTCAATTTTGAATATTAAATAAATAATTTACATACATTAATTATCCTCTTTATACTTACCTAGATAAAACATTCAATATTGAATAAATCAGACTTTAAAAAAAAAATCGCAACCTAAAGAATCTTTATAAATTATCCTAAAATTAAAAATAACTTTAAAAATTATAATTTTTTTTAAAAAAAAAATAGAGTTAATTAAATTGTAATTTAAATTAGGCCAACTCCGATAGTAATTGATATTGAATTTATTTTAGATAGTTATAGAATATTCTTGATTTTAAAAATCAGAAAGTTCTAGATAAAAAAAGAATTTTACAACTGAAAAATTAAAAAAGAAAATTTTACTACTGAAGCAAGCAATAAACTAAGGAAAAAAATATTTTAATAGTAATTTTTTTCAGACTTTCCAAATGAATTTTTCAAAAATACACAGAAAACAGTAGAGTTTTTGTTTCAACTTTACTAGGAGAAACTAGCAAAGCATGATGAGTAGGCAGCTAAGCAACCATATAAAAAGTACAAATCTTGTAAACATAAAATTTAATAAAACATTCATTATAACTGATCATAAGTTAAAAATTTAAGTAAGCTTCATATTGAGCATACAACAAGCATTAATAAATTATTATAATACATTTATAATAATTATAATACAAAATTATAATTATTAAATACATTTTATACCTCATTCTCAGCAACTGTGCTTCACCTGAAAATAAGTTTAATCATTATTCACTTAATTTTTTAAAAAAAATTTACAATACAGCATTTTGCCTTTTTTTAAATTTTAAATTAAGTAATACTCATTTTTCAATACAGGACATAAAAAAATAAATAAATAAAAACCAGATATATATTTTTTTAGCATGCTTTTTTATCTGAACACATTTTTAAAACTATACAAGTATTTCATTATTAGGATTTTATTCTTTAAAAAAATAATAAATAAAAAATTTAAAACAATCAGAAACAACTTTTAAATTAATAACACAATTAAAAAATCTGTACCTACAGAGAATTACCAAAAATCAAATATCCTAACAAATAACTTTTGATCCAAGTCAACATTTCATTAAGATTTAAATTACTATTATTAGTACAGTTTTCATAAAATACGATTCTGCCAGATTTCTAATCTAATAAATATTTTGTTCAGAACATGAACATTTCCCAAACTAATTTTTAAGTGTTTTTTAAACAATACCACAACATTGACAAAATAAATAGCTTTAAGCCTTACCCCTTAAGCTTTTATTTGCATCGAGTTTAAATTGCATACTTTATGACTATAATATTCAATTATTATCTTTGCAATGAAATTAAGGAAAAACAAAGTTTAAAGAAATCCTGTATAATTTTTAGTAATGCATTATTTTTCAAAAATTCATCAACATAAAACAGTTTTTAGACTAATATTATTTATAAATCAAAGAGATATTTATGTCTTCATTTTCAAATTCATCATCAGACCATTTTATTTAACTCTTGTCATTCAATCATTTTATTTTAGACATTTTTTTTCAGATGTGCTTATTCAAACCAATAATCAAATTAATCAGTTAATCAAAATTATATTTGTAATTTTAACTTAAAAAAAAAATAAAAGATATACTGTGGATATTATTATTGAAAAATAACTTCAATGGTGGTAGAAAAAATCCCAATATTTTTTTCTTACATTTTTTTTTTATTAATTATCATTATAATAATTTTTTAATAATATATTTTGCCAATGATGACAGTATTTTAAAAGTATAATGTTACATTATATGAATTTCTATTAAGATAACAAATTAAATTTTGCTGCTAATTTAATTAATTACACATAATTATGGATACATTATTATAATAATCAATCACTTTCCATTAAAAATTAATGATAGAAAATAAAAGGAGGAAATGTAAGACAAACATTCAATGAAATTGTTAGAAATGCAAACCATTTGATTTTTTTTTCTTTCTTTAATAGGAAAATTGGAATGTGTAAGTAATACAATGTAAGTAATATGTATGTAATACAAAAAACTAACAATAACATCAAATAACAATTAAGGTGTAATTTTAATACAAACTATAAAAAATTTATAAAACTTGCCTTCACTAATATAGTCAGCATTAACAGGCAAAATGGTGCTAAAAAAATTGAAAACAAAATTAGAAATATACAAAAAACAAAAAATTTATCAGTAACTATCACTATATATAACAAGCTCTTTTTCTCCCACTCTTTTTTTTTTTTTTTCAATTTTACCAATGAGAATGATGTTAATTATGAACTAATTAACATCAAGGCTCTAGTTGGGGGTACAAAAACCACACACAATATGGAAATATTTTTCTATTGTATGTTCTTTACTTCTTTATTATTGATAATATATAAAATTAATATAACTGTTATATTTAGCATTGATAAAAAAAATTAAATGATAGAAAAATGGTGAAGTTAGATTGTCACTTTACTTCATCCCTTATACACATCCATAATGCTTGAAACAGGTGCAAATGTTTTTTTGTCTTTTTTCCTTTGGGGTTGTAAAATGGAGATGCACTGGCAGTGCAGTCTTCAAATATTTTACAAGCATAGGAAACAGTCTCGTTAGTTTGATTATTTGTTATTTTCTGTTATGGATATGGCAAACTAAAAGTAGGAGTGGAAGATAAGTGAATACCTGCTCTTCTACAAATTGTTTCAAAAACAAGAATGAAGTGTACTAATTAACGTACTTAATTAAGTGTATTAAAATTATTACTCTGTTAATAATAAATAATAATATTCTATGGGTTTGAAATTATTTGGCTAACAAGAAAGCTGTATTTTGTATAAATAAATTTTGTTGTTGTTACTTATCTCCAGTCAGGTCTGCGAATCCATTGACATGCATGAAATCAATAACTAGTGAAGGGTGAAGTATAGGTCTGTTAAATAAATTTTAACTATGCTTAATGCCTTCAATTATTAATGGGCCAAAGGACAAAATTTGTAATCAGGCCATCCTCAAAAGACAAAAAATTTAATTGACATATTTTGTAAGCAATTCCAAAAAAATTTTTTAGAACACTGTTTTACCTTTGACTCTTAAACAGGGTGCGTAGCCAAATCATTGAATCAAAAATAAGCACTTTTTAAAAACTTTTCAAGCACTTTACAAAAATTTTCAAGAACTCAAAAAATTCATATTGAATCAATGATGTTATTGAAAAACAAAAACTTTTTATGAACAATTTTAGCATTAAAAAAAAAAAAAAAAACTCAAAAAGAAACGGACGTAAATCGAAACAATCAGTACTTTCCCACATCACCGAGTGAATTCAACTTGACTCTGAACAAAAGTACCCTTACCCCCTACATCAAAAAAGTGTAAGAAGTAAAATAAAATAAAAAAGAATAAAATTATAAATAAAAAAGAAAAACATTTAATAAGAATCTGACTCTATCCGAATTGGAGCACTCGGGTTTCAATTTCGAGTGTGCGCGCATGCGCAAGTCATAACGTGGGTACAACATGAAGTCCGTGTGAATGATTACATAGCAAACTCCCCATTTTTCGTGAAATGCAGGGGATCCGCCAGATATCACTGAAGGAAAAAAAAAATTTTCCTGAAAAAAAGCACTTTTAAAAAACGCCAGATGAAAAAAGCACCTTTAAAAGCTTTTAAAAACGAAATCTCACAAAAAGCACCTTTAAGTACTTTTTACAAACGCTACGCACCCTGTTAAAATACAGTCAGACCTGTTTACCTCAATTCTCGCGGGAAAGGCGAAAAATTTGGGATAAAGAGGTTTCGAGTTATACAGATACGTTAAAAAATTTAATTAAATTGGGTATACTATAGCCTACATCACAGATCGTGTTATTCCTACTAAATTTAACTAGTAAACAGCATTTTCTGCGAACCTGATTTCTAGCAACAAGTAAAAGCATCAAACGAAGTGTCTTGTTATAAGTCGCTACTCGCCAGGTTGGAATTGTATTAGTCTAGTTCCTTTGGAAATAATTTATATTGTTGTTTTACCGAAGTTTATGAATTTAGTAAGCATATTTAAAACTCAGTTTATTAATTAAACTAAAAGGTAAATGTTATTCCTAGTAAGTGGAAGTAGTTGTGCTTTTTTCATATTATACCCAATTCAGAAATTCTATTAAAAAGGCTTTAATTTTTTTAGTAGAATAATTCTACCACATACACATTTACATAACATTTTTGTAACATAAATTTAACACTGAAAATAATTTTTCAAAGATTTTTGATGCCTTATCTTCTTTGTTGCAATTATTCTTTTAAGGTTAGAAAGAGCAGCAAATTCCTCGTAGATCACATTTTCCTGGGATACAAGAATAGTTAATATGAGTTCTACAGCTTTTACTACCTTTTTTACACTCACTTTTAGTTCATCAATATAATCTTCAGGTCCTTCTTCATCTGATATCCCTTTGACATTACATAAGATTTCCACATCTGTCAGTTTTCCGCATGTTGCCAGGCAGTAGTCCACTTATAAAAATCATCAAAATTAATGTCAACATTAAATCTGATTTTATTGCATTCCAATCTTGCAAATCTGGCACTGCATTTCCAGCATCAACAGTTTCTTCTTCTTTACTGATGCCTTCAACCTCTTGTTATTCTAGAGGTCACTCCGTCCTACTCATCAACCCGCTACTAATGGCCAGAATCATTATATTCCTTTCTAGTTAAGGAAGCACAGAGATAGTGTTCAAAATTCAAGAAACGATCCCAACCTGTACATCCCCACTTCCTGTGGTTTCACGAAATTCATCTCTGTCTGCAAGTGCTACTTATAAAGAAAGTTATGCAATTTGGGCATTTGTGCTCGACTATTAGAAACTCTAAAAACAGAGATTTAAAGAAAATAATGTTCGACAAAAACATGGAAAATACATTGATTCTCGATAGTAATTGTGGGGAATTTCAGAAATTTTGAAATATAGAGGTTTTTGAGTTAACGCGGTTCGGATAAACAGGTTCAACTGTATTAATTTTCTAATTTTTGAGAATAATTTTAACTAAAAGCTAAATGCTTTCTAGTTTATGTATTTAATTAATATAGACTAAATACAGTGCAACCTCAAAAATCCAGACTGCTGGGGGATCTGGAAGGTCTGGATTTCCGAATTTTAAATACCTTACTTAAATTCATAGAATTATCGAAGTTTCGAATTCGAGAGGCCGATTTTGTGATTAAATGCACACGCATAGACCTCCTACGTCAATTTTAATAACTTAACATAAATATGCACTTTAAATAATAAACATTAAAAATCAAACTTTCGTTATTTTCCCCCGTAATCGATCGTTTAGATAACATAATATTAGCAATTAAAACTAAAAAATATAAGCTTAAAATGCACGCTTAATTTCAACTTATAACTGAAACAGATGCTTCTAGACTAGACTGTACCAGCTGATACTAATCCTTTTTTTGTTGGGGGATGAAAGAACTTCTCCCCACCTATCAAGCTTCAAGGTTAAGAAAGAACCAGTTTTCTTTCTTCACAAGGGAGAAAAACAAGGTGGTAGAAAAATTCCTTCTCCTGCACTCCTTATCTATGGAAGAATATAGAGGGGAATCCCCTCCATATTGAAGAATATAGAGGGGAATCCCCTTTGTATTATTTGTTATCTATACAGAGCTGATAAGGATGACTGGAATTTCCTTATCACTCCCCACCCCTACCTCTTCATCTACTGCTTCATTGTTGGAGTAGAGTTGCGCTTTTACATCAAAATTTTTATTTTAAATGATTAAAAAAAAAAAAAAAAATTATGCCGAACTGGACGCGAGAGTCCGGATTTTAGAGATTTCCAGATTTCGGAGATCCGGATTTTCGAGGTCGTACTGTAGTAACTAATGTAGAATAATTTAATATAGAATACTTCCACTAAAATTGCAGAACATTATAGACACACACACACACACACACATACATANTATGTATATATATATATATATACACACACACACACACGCAGACATACATAGTTATATTTATTATAAAAAAATCTAAAATGAAACTCACTTTAATCTGCTATAATCTCGTTCTTCTTCTGGAGTTGCTAGTCCTGATGCATCTAGTTCAGAATTAGGAGAGCTTTCTTCCTCCCTGTCATCAAAGAACTGGCTCAGCAGTCTTCGGTGAGTTAAAAGATCCTATGAAATATTTTAAGAAATATGATTAATGAACAGACAATAAAGGTACCAAAATTTTAAAAATGCAGCCAATTTCTTTATATTTAAATTGCATCAATGATAATTTAGCACAATTATTTTCAAATAAAATAAATTTAACAGTCTTATAAGTCCTTCTACATTTAGTAAAATTCATTATTAAACACTTTTTTAAAGTTTCAATGGTTCAATAGATTATTTTATTGGTTCAATAGATTATGAGGTATAGAATAATGAACATATATTTATTAATATATATAGAATAATAATATACACACATAAATGATAAAAAAATATATGTACTCAAAAATAATATATAATTAATTTAATTTCGTAAGCTTACTTAATTAACAATCTTTTATTCTTCATTATTTAAATAAAAATAAAACTTTTAACAGTCCATTTTATAGATTCTATTTATTAAAACAACTTAAGTGATTAAACTGTATGTTAATTACGCAAATTTTATAACTAACTATGTTTTTCAATAATAACTGGAATATAATTTTTAACTGTAAACTGAACTGCAATTTCTGAAAAATAGCAACAACAAAAAAAACTTTTATGAGAACAAGATCTGCAGCATAACTAATGAGAAACCTTTTCAGGTATGTCATAAATTAAATTGACAGAAGAATAGTCAAAATTCTGCCAACTTTTAGCATACTTTATTTTGAATATACTTTAACCAAAAATTTAAGCCTGAATATTACATCTTTAATTATATAACTTCCGCCTTAACCATTAAACATACAAAATGAGCAAAACATAAAAGCTCCATAAAAATAAAATTCATATTGTCAACTTACTTCTACAATAGTGTCCTCATCACCAAAATAAGAGTCAAACTCGTAACTTTCAGGAATTCTGGAAAATATAATAAAAAATAAATATTGCATACAATTTACTTCCGCATTATGTACTACAGAATATATTTATAGGGACTTACTCTAATTCCAAAAATTCTTGTGAAACTTCCTCTAAAAATCCAGATGAGCAATCAGGACATATTAATTCAGTCTATTTGCAAAAGATATAAATATTTTTTAAAAATTCACAAAAAAATATGGTTCTTTTTTTTTAAAATTTTTACAAAAAACTTAAATAGGAAATACTCAACAACAAATATAAAGATCAGTGCAATATAATCTACTAAAAATAAAAATTACTCAAAATTTTGAGTAATACAAATTATAAACAAGTTAAATACTTTTCCACTTAATGAGAAAACTTTGATTACAAAATAATAATAAATAAAAAAAATGTAATCAAAAAAATCTTTTATCAATTCTCATCTATCTCTTAAAAAAGTAAAAAATTTATAATTACCTAGTTAAAATTTTTGACCAATTGAAATGAATGTTAGAATTTACTATAGGGGTGCATAACCTTTTTGAGTTAGAATTTACTATAGGGCCACTTACACAGTATTTTGACTAACAAAGGGTCACACACATATTTAGTCATATTGGCCACAAATGTGATAATTTTTATACACATATTAGTGTTCTAAACACTAAATTTTTTATCAAAAAAAAAATAATAATAATAAATAAGTACTATATTTGCAGAAAATTAAATACTTTTAATTATTAGAATTCATTAAAAAATGAAAAAACTAATGCTTAGTCTAAAAAATTTATATCAAAAGAAAAAAAGATTGAATAACTTGGAATTGCGATGAAATTGATTAAAATAATGCAAGCTGAAAAGTGATTACTCAAATTCAAAATTTGTGCAGCATATTAATAATATCAGATTTTTAAAAACCATACTGAATTTCATAGCAATAACCTTTGAAGAGCGATCAAGAAACAAGATAGATTTACAATAGAATGTATGCAAATTGCAAAATGCAAGGTGATGACTCAAATTTGAAATTCAAAATTTTCCACAGATTTTTATTTTTCAAAAAAATTTTTTTTTTGTTTTCAGAAGCTCCAGAAACAGTTGATGGGCGGTTGTGCACCTCTAACTTAAGAAAAATTTTACATAAATTGACAGAGAATTTACATTAAGTTAAATAAGCTGAATAAGAGTTAAAAGAGCTGAAATCAGATTTTTTCATGATCAGATTTAATCTACATGAAAACTATAATTGATACTATATCATTACTTTGATGATAAAGTTAGTATATCATTACCTTAAATTAAAACAATAATTAGACATAATTTAATTAAACTTTAATTAGAACAAAAAAATTGGCACAGCCAAAATGCAATATAATCATTAATAATTTTTTTTTAATGGATGGGTGATCGTGTAAAGCTAAGGGTGGTGCCGTTAGTGGTTAAATTGCTCTCGCAAGACTTCCGGGTTACTGCTTCCGATATATTTTTATGCCGCAGATTGAAAAAATGCACCATCATATTATTGCATCATATCTTTTGCAGTATTTCACATGTACCGAGTTCTTTCTTTCAGCCTTTAAACTTCTATTTCCAATTTTTTTA